CGCCTTGAAATTTTCGATTATCTCGGAGAGGTTATATAAAGAGATTATTTTCTTCCTGAAATAACCGGGACATGTCATTTATTAATTTGTTGGTATTGTGTACAAAGAGTTCGTACACAACAAGATGGATGCTTTTTATAATGTTCGTACGTTGTTTCACTTCACAGGAAGAGTTACTCAATTTGAGAGAATCTCCAGCATCAAAACTCTGGCCATCTATTCTTTCAGAGGAACACGTCAGGTACGTATGATATCTTCGATAAGAAAAAAAACAAATAGTTGAGTATCAAATTAATACTTGGTATTTTCGATCAAGGTACGTTTATCTACGATTTATTTCCCATTGTGGATAACCAAGATTTGACCCTTCGACTCCCAAAAGTGCCCAAGACAGAATTTTTCCTTACAATATCAATGTAATATTGAGCAGACAAGTAATGAGAGTTAAAAAAAAAAATAGAAATTAGGGAATTATTAGTTGATCCAATACCAAATTCTCCAAACTAGCATTATAAGAATTGTGTGACACTTGGGAAGCATAAGAAATGAAATCTTGCGAGTAAAAGAGTTGAAGCCAATATCTACTACTACTGTTTTTGCCTGCGTATAGGCTGCACTTTTTTGATGAAAAACCACCTCGAAAGTTTGCAGTGCAGCCTATATGCGGGTACAAGAGTTCAGAGCTCGTTAATATGCAAAGTTTCCCAACAAAATAATCAACAAACTTCCTCAGTTATTCACAATTTTATTCAATGCATTGTACGAGCTTACGTCAAATTAGTCCATATCTTCCAAGAATTTTGCTTCTCTCCGCTGTAATAAGTTTGTCCAGCTTCCGAACATGTTTCTTATTTGAAGACGTCCACAGTAATTTGCATGGAATAGCCATTCCTCCTCAAGGACCTTGTGAGTGAACCCTCTTTCCAGTCACTTGGCATGAAATCTCTTCACCTTTCTTGATAAAATAACAAGCAACACGGCTGAATTCTGCCAGCAGGTGTTCCACAAGTTTATTTCCAGTTTAATCGGTCTCATAAATTGTGGGATTCCAGGTGTTTCCTTATACATGATATCCTCGTATTTCGCTTTTCATTTCATAGTTGCAAGTAGTTCACCCATTTTCTGGTTACTTTTGGCCTGTATGGCAGCTGAATCCTTGAATCGCAAACAACACGAGTGATATTCTCGATAACACTTGCTCTATTCACTTTTCATAGAGGGGGTTAATTTTTTTTTTTCAATACAACTAGCCCAGTATGTAACCATGGTAACCCACATGTTGCATGCTGTCAAAGAATGAAAACAGGCAAATCACTCATTTTCTAAGAAATCACGACGCCGAAAGGATCAACGAGCGTATCATATTCATCACATTTTAAACTCGTTGTTATTACTTGCGCTTTAGAGAAGGGAAACCCAGAAACTGCATGCCATTACAGAGTAGATGAGAAGAACGTACGAAGATGGAAGCATGTAAATATTTTTTGCGAACGTCCCCACTCAAGAAGACAGTTTTCTTTCATAGAGATGTTGTTTTTTTATCGAATGAGAAATTAAAAAAAGAAAGAGTTTTCTCAACTTTTTGGCTTGATTGTGCTTTGTTACTGGAAAAACTTTTTTTCCCTGAGATCAGGACAAAAAGTAGTTCATAGTGCAGCCTATATGCGGGTGCAGCGTATATGCGGGTAAATACCGTAATGTAAAGTATGTGTGTGTATGGAGGGTAATGATTTACATGAAAAATTACTTGTTTCAGATTGGCTGAAAATGAATACATTTTTCATGTAACAGGAGTGCAATGAATAGTGTGTGCACGCTGTCAAAATTTTATCTGTCTCAACTTACTGTTGATTTCTTTGTGTGATTTATTAACATGTAACAACATGATTTTTCGCCCAATTTGGTGTAAATAAGCACTTGTAAATTTTTCAGAGGCTAAAAAATGCACTCATCCTACAGGCTCGTGCAATTTTGTTGTGTTAAAACAATTTACTTGTGCTTATTAACACCAAATTGCACAAGAAATCATGTTATTACCTATACTAATAATCTTTAAATTAACAATTTGTGTTTATGCACATGTAGTTTTTCCAAAATATACTTGCTCAATTTTAGCTTGGTGAACAACAACAATATTTCAATTAATATAAGTGTTGTACTTGACTGTCCTTTTTGGCAGCTGGTTGATAGTGAATTCTTGCTGAGATAAAGAGATAAAGATAGACATGTAAATTGAAGCTACCCCTGGGGGGCTTTTCAGCCACAATGTAAACTAAGTGCTTAAAAATCCCCACTGGTAAAAGGCGGACCAGTGGGATATTTACATAGCACAGCTGAGGAGTTGAACTGAGGGCAATCGAGAACAAATCCAGTGAGTGGCAGTGTGGAGGATTTGAACCTTGGGCACAGGATTACAAGTCCAGCACCCTAACCACTCTGCCACTCTGCTGCCTCCAAGACATGCACTACTTCAATGAAGACAAAGTGAAAAAAAGACCATCTTTTCAAATTCTTGATACATTTTGGGGCATAGATACTGTCAATTTAGGCCCGGATACAACTGAAATCCTGCTTGCTTCATAAGATTAGATTGAAATTTGGCTCTATAAAGTTTTTTTCACCATGATAATAAGTCATCAAGAAAAGAAAAAGAGAAATTGTGTGCTTAGCATAGAAATATCTTGTATGTTTATTTTATGAGATAGATGTTCAGTGATTTGTCTCCTCAGTTATTCAGAGTTTGTTGGTTAAGGATACAGTAGACCTTTTGAGGGCCAATTTTTTTTAAACCTTTTTTGTTCAAGTCAAACTAAACATTATTGTTTTAACTATGATTTCCAAGAAAAAGTTTGGTAAAATATTGAAATGCATGTAAGTTTTTTAGAAAAATGCATTTTCAAACTGAATTCTATATTGTGAAAAGCCAATTATAACATGTCAACATAAATGGCTCCCAAAGGGTTTCTTACAGTATGATATTCTGGTCCTTCAGTTTTGATTGTGTAAGCATCTCATGATTTTAGTTGCACATAGAGATCTTTGCTATCCCTCTGTGTTTAAACCTAGAATGTGAATGGAGAAAGAAAAAGGGGAAGAGTCCATTGGCAAAAGTGAAAGAGGCCTGGCTGTCAGCACAGAAAGTAAAGAAATTTGACACGGAATGGCAAAATAATCTCACTGAAATGGATAAAGGCTCATGGTCTAGCCAATCTTTGCTGCTCTCACTTGATCAGCAAAACCATTAAGTTTTGCTTTGGCATGCTTAAGCTGCTTTTAGGTTGAAAAAAAAAAAAACAAAACAAAACAAGAAAAAGTTGAAATCAAAATTGCCCCCATTCAGTAGAATTGAATCAAAGTTTGTCATGGGTAACTGTTAGATAGTTACCAGTAAAATATGTTTTTGCTGAGAGTTATGGTAGAAATTCAGTTTTTCATAATGGTTCTCCTGCAATGGCCTCTGGTTTAATGTGCATTGGAAAATTTTTGATTAGCAAACTTGACAGATAAATCGCAAAGCAAACAATGAGATAATCTAATTGCAAAGCATCAATTAGGATTGAAATTGTGCATAAGTTTTATTTGTGTGGTTGATTTGATATATGATTAATTTGCTCAAAGAAACATTTGGATTATGATTAGGTCAAGCTAAAATGAAATAATTTTCACTGAATAGGGTATTTCATTACCTTTCCGTTGATATATAGTTTATGGTGTTTACACTTAGAGTAGCGTGTTAAAATTTTTTTGCAAAGGACACCCACAAAAGTCTACTGTATCCTTAAACAATCACAGTAGAAGCCCTGTTTGGCTGCAGTGTCTTCAAGTATTTATGTTGATTACACTATTCTTTGATTTTTTATCAACAAAAGGCATGGAGTGTGGGATCCTGAGATGTGGCACCAATCTAGCTCAAGTGGAAAAAGATGTGCCTCGCCAGGGGAGGAACTCAAGAAACAGCTCCTGTAAGTAAAATCATGGTACACTTTAGCTACTAAATCTTTTCAATCAGAACCTAACTCCAAAGTAGGAAGCCCCTTTCATCCTCAGTTAGCCTTTAACTCCGGAGATCTGATTGTTAATTCTCTCCTCAAACTGCCACAAATTTACTTGTAAATTAGTCCTAAGAATGTGGTGTTAGATCAAGGTACCAACCTCAACCTGGTAGATTGAGTATTTTCTTTACCTGTTTGTTGGATCATGTATGGAAATTGTAGGGAGAAGTTACAAGCTTATCACCTCTGGGAGTTTAAGGTGATCAAAACATAATTTCTCCTCACAATACCAGTACAATATCAAGCAGATAGGTGATAAGAATATAGAAGAATATAGAAGAATATAAAATTAGGGGATTATTAGTTGATCCAACAGCAAATTCTCCAAGCTAAGATCATACACTGTACGCTGCAACCTGTCAAATGAATAACGCGACATAACTATTGTTGTTTCCACCCTTTTCGATAATGCTTTTTGACCAAGAGGCACAACTCTCTTTGTTTTTGCTAGGAACAGTGTCAAGATTAATCTTTTGATTTGTTTTTAAGAAGCTTTCCATTTTCTTTTTTTCCATCTCAGTATTGAGGATGGAATAGTGTTGAGCCCTCAGCGTCAAAGCTTTGTACAAGGCTGTCAGATTCCTCAGAGTACACCTGAAAGGAATAACCAACAGGAGAGGGTGAAGACAGGTTTGAGCAGGACAAGTGATCGTGAAAGGGAGGGAAGGGGTAGACTCACTGGAAGGGTGGGCAGAGGAAGGGCCCTGGACTATAAAGAACGTACACCCCTACAAGAAAGGAATAAGGTAAAACTTTTGAACTGTTGCTGGTAATTCTTGTTCTTACTCAAAGCTGTTTTTATAGCATTCAGCCTTAGAGAGATTTAGCAATTTACAGACAAAAACTTGTCTGCCATTGAACATTGAATTTGGAAGCTTCACTGCACTAAGAAGTATGTAGGTTACACTATGAGCTTGCCTCAGTTTCTTGCCAATAATGTTCATCGCCTCCCAGTTAGCTCAATTGGCTGGATTATTGTGCGGGAGGTCGAGGTTGATGGTTCGAGCCCCGGCCGGACCAACACTCAAGGTCTTAAAATAACTCAGAAGAATGCGCTACCTTTCTATAATATCAAGAAATGGATAGACATTCTAGTCTTCTCCGATAAGGACGAATAAACTGTAGGTCCCGTCTCCTGCATCTATTAATTAGTTGATTTGGTTAGGCAGGGGATGTTAAAGAACCCACTCACAAGATTACTGTGATGTGGTCTGGCCTGTTTACTGGGAATTGGGGGGAGGGGCATCTTCAAATACGTTTCCTTTGATTGTTTGTAAACTGCTGATGCAGTCCGGCCAAAGTCCCCCGAAAAGTGTTGTGATGCGCATTTGATCATATCCATATGTTAATTTGCGCAATATAAATATTAAATTATTATTATTATTATTATCTCGTAAGATCTTTTGTGTTTAGCTCTTTGTGCACTTAGCAAGCATTTCCCACCTCGTATATGATGTAATATAAAAGGCTAGACCACAACACCGAAGACACTGCACCTTTTTCAGCTAACAGTGTAACACTGAAAATGCAGGAGACCAAGCCTATAGAGTACATTCCTGATCCAAGTAGGGTAGAATTTCTACTCTATAACAGAAGTTATTCCCAAGACAGCTCATTTCACTTGTTATTTAGAACACTGTGCGATGGTCTCATCTGTGGTCCAAGCCCTCCTGAACAGCAGTCTAACATTCTCCCAGTTGAGCAAACCTGCAAGCTGTTAGACCATATAAAGCCTTTATATTATGAATGCCTTTAATGTTGTTTTAAAAACTCTCAGGATCCAGAAGAACTGTCAGGAAAATATTCAGGGTTTAGGGAAAGGGAAGATAGAGCTGACCGAGGTTATGGCAAGGAGAAAGACAAAGGATTCAGGGAGAGGGATCAAGATCAAAACAGGAATAGAGAAGAACATAGTCGAGGGAGAAATATTCAGGGTATGTATACAGTATATTTACTATACAAGTTGCCAGTTGGGCAACCTGTGCCAGCAGCCAGTCATACAGAAAGCTTTAATGTATTTATAACTTAGTTAAAAGGGTTAAAGTGGGATAGTCATTTTGCAGTTTATGATTTTGTCACCAAATTGCACCTTAGAAATGTTTTGCTCTGACAAAGGGCCAATGCTCAAAAGGTCACCTTTAGAAACTCTTTTTGTGGTGGCCAATTTACATTTTCAACTCAGTTGATTAAACTAAACTATCTTGTTATACACCTGCATTAATGCAGCAGCACAGTTCCTTCTGAAACTTACCCACTTTACTATGATTGCAAATAGTTGGGCTTGCAGCTCTGAAGTTGAGTACAATTTTTTATCAAATTCTGTCTGACACTCAGCAAGAGTGACCAAGAAACACGAAGGGAGTACATGTATACTTTGATAGTTTGTACATAGAAATCTTATGTAGTAAATTTATTATTCCCCCCACAGTCAGGAAAAAGCATGTAAAGGAAAGTAATAATGAAGAGCCAGAATGGTTTACATTTGGTCCATCAAGCCAGTTTGAAACTATGGAGCTGAAAGGATTTGATGACGATGAGTTTGAAAAAAAAGGTGATGTGGACAATTGTTACTTATCAATACTTGTACTTGCATCACATTGCAAGATTAGTTACAACACCCTTAAATTAAATACATTGACTATGGGTAATTCACTGGAGTACAAACTGACATTGCATTTTCACCCCTACCTCACTAGATCAAGAGAGGCGTAAATCTGCATCTGATGAGCTCAAAGCAATTTTGTCAGGTACAGTGTGACTTTCATGAACTATTAGGATGGTGGTGTCATTCCATAACCAATATTATAATTATATGTCAATGATTAATTGTAAGATAGGTGCAAGTGTGAAACACCCTAAGCCTAGCTTGTGGTATCCCACATGAATTATCACTTTTTATGGCTGAACATTCCTTGAAGTTTAGATATTTTGATAATTATTTGTTAGGATAACACCCTCTAGCTATTTAATTTGTTTATGCTATGACTGTTTAAACATAATACTGCAAAAGGTTAGAAAGGTCACATTCTAGGGTGGTGCTTTGTGGATTTTGATTCATTTTTTCCATTTTTGTTTAGGTGCCCATAAGGATATTCATTAATGACATCAGGATTTGTAACCACAGGGCCTCAAACTTTAGAGCTTGCATTTGTTTTGAAAGCAGTATAGTTCCCAAAAACTCCTTAGTTTGTTGTAGAATATTGATGTAGACTATTGCAAGGCAGTAATAAGTGTGAACTTATTTTAGTTGGGAAGAAAGCCCTTGTGAATGGTGAAGTGAAGAGTTCTTCGGCTACGACAGGCAGTGGTCCATCACAAGAAAGGGCAGATGAAATAAAGACCAAAAAAACTAAAGATGCTAAGGAAAATGTGAATGGCACTGCTGATGACAGTCATAAACAAGATGCCAAGCCTTTTGACATAAATGACTTTTTCGTGAGTGAATCCCTGCTACCTTTTTCAGGAGGGGTAAGTTTGTGTGACCTTAGCCATTTGTACATGTAATCCTTCCAAATGGCATAAGTTAATCCCAACTGTCTTGTTTGTCTATCCTCATTGCCTGTATGCTTAAAAAAAAAGCATAAATGTATTGTTAAAACTTTTTTCCTGTATCAGTGAAAATATCCTTAACTTTTCCCTGATGACAAACGGTTAGATACAGTTCAAGAAGTATGTCGAGTATTGAGAGGGAATTACAGAGAATCGGTGATTTTTCCTATTTGTTTGTTTAATGTAAACTTTATTTGAATTCTTTGGGTTTCTGATGTGCTGTTTATGGGAGGGTGGCATTTGCTTTCCTAGCAGTGAAGTGAATGAAGTGCTTACTATGTATGGTATTCACTAAGAGGAAAAAAACGATATCATTCTTTGAGCATCATGTTTTTATTAGGTGGACCAAGCCAGCAGTCGATTTTGTCAGTTTTTCGGTCAACCAGGGAGTAACTACAGTAGCAGTAGAAGTGGCAGCCCAGGTAGGCGTACTGCAACCAGCTAAGTATTCTTTACGTTAAATTGTTTCTTCCACCATTTTAAAGAATAGCTTATTTAAAATTGTAAAGTGAGTGAGGGTTGTGTAAACCATTCTGCCAGTTTGGCTACCGAACTATCGCGCAGGTAATTTGACCCCAGTTTGTGTACGCAAATTTTTGAACTGCTGGGCGTCTAAATTTTCGAATGGTTTTTCTCACAGTTTTCTACTAGAAGATTTGCCTGGTGTTCTTTGAACGTAATTTTATTTTGATAACTTCAAACAGTCATCTCTTTTAATAGGTGTTACACTCGCCTATAATTTTTGATACCTGTCATTTGAACGTTTGCTTTTTTTTTTTCGCCCTGAGAATTATTTTTTTATAGCTGTTCATTATCTTGGGGAAAGGTCTGTTGCGTAATCGAATGATTGAAATTTTTTTAATAGGTATTGCAAGTGGTGGTGCAAACACACCTCGGACGCCGTCACCAGGACCAAACTACTTATTCTCCCCAATCGCACCTTCAGTTGTTGATGGTGTTGACTCTCGTGGCCTGGCACACATGCTACATAGTTCCCGCATGAACATGCAGCCTCTTCTGGATGAGGTTATGTCTTTCGGAAAGGAAAGCAAGGTTAGGGGATCAGTCAGGTTGGAGGACATTGAGGCTGAGGTCACAAAAAATGCCGCGGACTTTGCAAAGAAAGAAACTAGTGACTTGGAACAAAACAAAGAAAATCTTAAAAGTGGTGACACAACCAGCTCAAAGGAGGAAATGTTGGCATTTGATATGCTTGTTGAAAAGATGAAGTCTTCAGGGACATTGCCAGAGAAGCCTCAACCTGTGGTAAGATGTTTTGCATTATTATCTTTCCAAGGTGAATTCGTACTGCGCGGCAACGCGGGGGTAACTAGAAAGTTGCCATAGTTGTAATTCTCAGCCTTAAGACGGTAACAAACACTTTTTAAATGTCTTTCCATAACTTTTCAAAATATTACATGTTCGTATCTTGGTGGCTGCCTAACAGAGTTAAAGTACGTTAGTTTTGTAGGGTACGAGTATTCTTTGGGGATAGGACAATTGTCAGTGACTCGGGGAAAAGGAACGAGAAATCACCTTACTGAACTGTAGAACAGATACAGTCCGTAGTTTACATGTTGTGCTGGCGAAATAATTCATTACTTATTATTATATGTTTTACACAAAGATTCCGGGATTACCATCCCGTTTACTACCAAGACCACCATCTCCTAAACGTAAAACTTCAAGAAATACACCTTCTCCTTACCATGATCTAAGACGTTCACCCTCACCTGCTGAGCTGCTACAACGGATGACTATGCAGGGGCCATTGTCTGATCACAGGTCTCCATCACCAGCCCAGGTGGTACCTCAGATGAACAGATCTCCCTCACCTCTAGAGATGTTCCACAAGTACGGTGCAATAGGTATGTGAGTTCCCACCTCGTTTGTCTTAGAGATAAGTATCTTTAATACCAAGGGACTAAGAGTACGATAAGAATGGAAATTCTTATATGCTGTTGTGAAAAATGAGGTTGATAAATGACCAGCGTCTTGAGCCTGTTTGTCTGTGTGTTTTTTGTCGAAATAAAGCTTTGCCGTTTTGAATGTGTGTGTTTTGTGGAAATGAAACTTTGCCCCTTTCTCTCCCAAAACAATCTTCCTAGGCACGCATGCAAGGCTTAATTTTGACCACTTAGGATTTTGTTTGTCGATGTTGTAATTCACTAAGTGGTTTCTCCCTTTCCAGTGAGCCCCTCACAAGATGTGTTTGCTTCTCCTTTGTTGCGACACACACCGTCCCCTCGTGCTATGCTTGCACAGCAGAGAGAGAGTCCTCCACTTGGGTTTGGTGGCGTTAACTTGTATAACCTACCCCCACATGTCATGTCGCTGTACCTCGGAGGACATCACCCAGGCATGCAGCTGAAAGGGAACCAAAAGCCACCTTCAAGGAAGCCACAAGGGGGGAACACCACACCAGGCGGCGCCCCGGAACCACGTAATCAGACTTTATCGCATTCAAAACCAACTTCAGAAGGTCAGACGGGTTCCCCTTTCATACCTGATCGATCTTTTATGCCGACATCTGTGTTGAGGAAGATACGCCAGGAACAATTCGACCAGAAGATGCCAAAGTGCGACGAACAACCTAAAGTAAGAACTTCAGTAGCAGTCGAAGAAGCCATTGCTAATAACAGAGACCACACCGCTGACCAACATCCCTCCCAGGCGAAAGCAAGGTCACAGTCAGGCAATGCAGATGATTTAATTAAGACGACGCTATTGCAACAGTATGTGACTGAAAACGACGCTCATGTAAACAAAACTGCGCCGAAACTCGACCATTTGTTGTCTCCGAGGTCCATGATGTCAAATGATTCACAGATACCGCAAAGTGGTTCACCGATTTTGCAGAAGCCAACGGCCTTTAGACCTTTACCTGGATCTCCACAAATACCGTTTCCCACTTTTAAGAGTAGCGGTATTCACTCTGAACCTGCATCTCCACTGCGTTCTTTTAATCAGAGCGGAGGATCACCTCTGAGACCCGTAAAGCCCCTTTCGCACTCGGAACCAGGCACTCCCCAGCGTCATCCATTGGCAGATAAGACACCTTTGCTGTCACCTCAGCAGCTGGTGTCTAAAAGTTTGATGCCAAGAGTCCACGGCAAGCCGGGGGAAGGATTATTAGGCCATGCCACTACCCTGGAGAGTCAGGGAAAAGGCATTCGCAGTGGTATCACGCGTGTTGTTACGGCCAATGAAGGTAGGCCCCTAACCCACTCGTTCGAACAGCAACCTCATAGTATACCAGAGAAGGTGGCCGTTCCTGAAGACGTGTTTCAAGCGAAAAGAAATGAGAGTTTGGCAAAAAGTCATCATGGTCTACCTATGCAAAAAATAAACAGTACTGAGATGTCGACTCCATATGAGAACCTACCGCCAAATCATCCTCAAGGAATCCACGGAAGTGGTACGCGACCTTCTGCCGCTCATTTTATGACGAGATCGTTTCCAGGACTGCATGGTCCACGGCCTGGCCCGCATGTACGAAACGGACGCATGTCTCCGTCTAGTGTTCCAGCCATGCATGGTCATCCTGGTCGTACCCCCTTTAACTCGCCTATGCCAGGCATGGCGATGCCCCCCCGTTCTGCAATGCATCCTGGAATGATCCCACCACATATGCAAGCAGCTTATCTAAGGATGATGTCTTCAAGTGGAAATCCCATGGGAGGCATCCCCTCTCCTGGACTAAACCCTATGTCTATGAGGTTACCTATTCCGCACTCAGCAGGCAGGTATCCCTTAATGCCAGGACACAACCCAGCTGCTGCCGCCATGATGTATGGAGGGCGTCCATCACCTGCATATCCACCTGTTAACCCTGCAACGATGATAGGAGCTCGTTCTCATCACATTCCCCACCAGGTTGGTCTACAGCAGGTCCAGGCTCGACCAGGTAGGTGTTTGATCTTTTTTACATTGGTTTTGGTGGTTATGTGATGTTGTCTATTAGTCGCAGGAAACTCAGTGTCGCTGATGGTTTGATAAATGGGCCTCGAGAGGCAAATACCTTAGTGTTTGAAATATGAACCACTATTCCTTTCAGAGTTATCAGCTCTAAAAAGACTAAACATGGTTGCAAATTGACAGATAACTCTCTCGAGGCGCGCCGGCAATTTGAAAAAAAAAATTGGCTGTCTAAAGCGCTGCACTATTTCATATCCACAACAAATTAACATCTAGGATATTTACACGACCTTAGTCAAAAGTCGATCACCTTCAAAATTGTAGCACAAAACAAACATTCCCTAACCATAGATCCATACAATAATTTTCATTTAGTTTCATTGCCAAGGGTCGTTCACACAATTTTCTCATCCAGTTTGGCGACAAAAGGAAATAAGAAGCGATGATGAACAATAACGGGACTGAGCATAAATATGTATTTTTTTTTTCCTTTGATAGAAGTTGAATTTTTTCCCGCATGAATCGTCCGTTACGCTCTCTTGTTCCGATAACATGAACGTGGATTAAAACGTTTTAATCAAGGGTGATACGATTGCTGACTGGTTTTTTTTTTTCTGTAGTTTCAAGTCCTGTTATGAACCATCCTTCTCAACCCCATTCTCCTGGTGGGTCTGGTTCAGGGAACATTTTGTCGAAGTGGTTCAGTGAAGATGTTCTCCAACAGGCCGCCCCAGTGCACAAGGATACCGCTGCTGACTTTTCAAGGAAATTTATGTCAGTAGAAGAACTAGAGAGACAGCAGACCGCAGCAATGAATTAACTGAAGCTTTTTATAGTAATTTGATATTTAATACTTTCATTATTGTACTAATGAGCGTGGGTTTACTGATGCTGTCGCGCTTCGTATGTTTGTCGTTAATATTTTTCTCTTGCTGACTGTATTCATATCTTAGATACTATTGATTTGTATTCGTGGGATTCCATGTTCCTCTCTACTAAATTAAGAAAAGTTATTTATTTGCAAAGCCGTTCGTTGCTAATTTCACACGTTTGATTCTTTTTCGTGTAAGTGAGCTTCATTCCCACAAACGCTATTTGTTCAACTCCTAAGGTTAATTAATGTACACTGTATATAGAAATGAACTGTGCTTCGCTTTACCTGAAGAGAGAAGCTCATGTTTTGTTACATGTTTAAGGAAGTTTTGTGCTAACTTTTTATGAGAGTATTTTCTTTGGATGTAGGGTGACCCATTTTTTCCCGTTTAATCATTTCCTTCTGTATTTGTTTTCCTTCGTAGTGAGAATCGAAAACATTCCGCACACGGAAAGTTTATAACTGTTTCGTGTTTACCATTCTCTTGGGTTTTAATTGAGACACGAGACAGTTGTACATATAACGTAAGTGGCCTTCTTTGAGAATAATCTGTGACATTGGCAAAAATTTATGGAATGGGTCCCTCAACCCAAAGTTAACACACATCGTAGATAGAATTGAAATTTTGTCAGAAGGTACAGAAGCATAATTTCCATTCCTGATTAATGCTTCGATAAACATCACAGTCAACCACAGTCCAAGGTTAAAAAATAATCTGGGCGTGATGAGAGTAAGCGCAAACGTCCTCAAATGAGAAAGCTGATAAGACGAGGCAAGTAGCTAAGTATATTTATTGGAACAAGAAATTGTTTGTATAGGAAATGGTTCAAATCACATAGGACCGCCTCGCTGCATCACAGCGGCTACCATGTAATTTATTGTAGTTGGTGTGACTGTCGCGAAGTCATCTATAATTAATCAGTCCTGTACTTTTACCGAAAGTGATGGTTCACATTGTATAGTATTCTAAACCTGGAGTTGCACTATTTCAGTAAATTTCATTTGTTTCGCGACAAGACAGTTCAATTTGACGGTGAAATTTTGTAAAGATTGTGGTGTGAGGTTAAGATCAGTTATGAGGACAAAAAACCATTTAACTGAAATACCCAAATTGAGTTATACAGGTTCTTACCTAACTTTAGTTTTTCCTTTGTATCGTCACCATAATGTTAACAAGTCCTCTCCTGATGGGATATATCTTATGGAATGGAGTTTTGGTTGTGTCCGCGCACTTTTGATCCAGACTGTTTGAAGATGCGTAAGTAAAAGGAGGCTGGGAAAAAAAAAAAGACTGGCGTGAAGTACATGCTATATACAGCGACTCCTAAGACTGATAGCGTTGGATTATGCAAATAAACTTGTTTCCTGTTGTATTTTCTAGCATTTGAAATATTCTATACTACTTCGTCCGTTAGAGGCGTTCCTTCAGTGTTCAGACATCTGCAGAGCAATGTTAGAATCTTAGCAACTGCGCACCCAACCCTGACCCAACAACAGTCAACTGATAAATAGTTGACAACTATTCACCGAAGTGGAGGTGGTCAGTGGTGGATAATTTACCAAGCCGCGAAGCGGCAAGGTAAATATCCACCGCTAACAACCGACACTGATCTGAGGTGAATAGCTGTATTAGCATATACTAAAACAGTGAGATAATATAAACCACCGTCGTTAATTTGAGTGATTTCTTCGTTTGTCACGGATGCAAACCGGGACGCCATTTTTTCCCGAGTTGCTCGGAGGTAAATGGCAAAGGATATTCGGAGTTTGACTAGCCAATCAGAGCGCGCCTTCAACGCTGTCCGCTGTTTTAGTATATACTAATTAGGGTTAATGCTGGGTTAGGGAAGGGTAGGTGTGCAGTTGGTCACTTGCTGATATTGATCCACATATGCTGTGATTCAGTTGGAGATCATGCGCTAGGTGGAACAAATGGGGTACTCAAGCCAACGGTGGAAAATAAGTATGAGCTTTGAATGGATCACTGTCTCAAATTTTTCCGGAATTCCCTCTGAAAGCCCTGTTTTGTTTCTCTAGTTAGCGAGAAGGGGCGATTAAATTAATTGATTTGGTATGAATCCGACACAAGCACCAACTTGAGCGCCGTTCCCGCTACTCAGAATAAAATCGATAACACACACAACTTTCTCTTTCCACACAGGGAAAGGGTCACGTGTTCACCACTGGCACTATTGCCGAGAGCTTAAATGCAGAATCATGGTGAACATGCGCACTGTAGGGAGTTCAAGGGTGAATTTAACTTCGTTTCTAAAGATTGTTTGAAAAGAATTTGTACATTGTACAGGTGGAAGAACCATAGGACACGTACTCCCCTACTAGGTTCATCCACCTAAACCCAACCCACCCCTCCCACCCCGGGGAAGGACATCCATCACACAGTAACCTCATGTGTGGGAAATTAACGTCTCCTACCCCTCCTGCAGGAGACGGGACCTCCATTTATTCGTCCCTATCCGAGAAGACTAGAATATCTAACCATTTCTTGATGTTATAGAAAGGAAGCATATTCTTCTCAATTATTTTAAGACCTTGAGTGTTGGTTGAGTGTTCGAATACTTGGCTAACTTGTTCTTTTTTTCTTTCTCTTATTCTCCCGCCTTTTATTTAAACTCAGTGAAGGGAATGCGTGCTCCTTAAACGTCAAATCCGGCCTATAAGAAGAAAGCACAATTTTGATGAAATCACCGAATCACGTGACCATCCTCGTGTCAGCCTTGACGAAAACTAAACTCCCCAGAATTTTTTTTCATCCACGCGAAAATCGCAGAGTAGAGCTGGGGAACTCAAATGAAGAGTATTTCGGACGGAATCGAAAGTGTAATTGTTAGAATAAAGTTGCATTTTGAAGCATAATGTGAACGAGCCTGTTAGTCATTTATCCAAAGCACTTATAGTACTGAACCCTTGTTACGCTAGTCACTTACAATTCCGTTTCACGGAAGGTTTGTTGTTTCTTTGTTGATAACATCAGATAAATAAAATGACGAGATAAGTGACACGATCGCCCGAAAGTTCGAGGTTCTAAGAAGGTGTTAAGGTTTGATGACAAGATTTGTCTGTAACTGTAACTAATCTTAAAGCAAAGTTTTTTTTTTGGGGGGGGGGGGGAAACTGCGCGATTGACTGACTCATTGAGTCATCTTTTCGAAGTTAATAAAGATTGATAAACTACTTGGTGCCCAAAATTCTTTCACATTCGCGTGAAGATCTAGTAAATCTCTAGAGTGGATACATTTAGACGCAAATAGTATGAGGACTCTCGATCAACTAAGTACTATTTTGATCAGTTCTAATCGACGTCATCCTGTCTCGGCTATTGTGGACAATAGGCCTATTTCGGGGGAAAAAAAAAACAAACAAACGACACAAAACCCTCACGTCACTTGAACATTGAAGACTCCTTGGCTAATACTTTTTAAGAGACTTTTTCCTTCAAAATACTAGCCTTCACGCGTGAGGTGAGTTCTCTTTTATTCCTCACACTTTCAAGAGCTTTAAAGTAGCTTTGTAGTACCGGCGGCATGCCCGCAGAGTTGTGCCTCTATAAAAGTCACCATTTTCTAAGAGTTATGTCGAGAAGGTCAGTATAGTTTCTTGGCTTAATCAGTTTGTTATTTTTAATCACGCAGAACTTTCTTGCCCAATACGATGTAGTTGATACCGACACGGAAAGTGTGTTCCTACCGCTACCAGCCAGTTTGGCTCCAAAGGACGTGCGCCGGATCTGTTTATAGTGCAAAAGATTTTGTTTTATACAACCCCTTTTGATCAACCACAGCATAGATTCTTAATCTTCAATAGCTGCTCTGAGGTTTATCCTACTACGTCACCTATAAATTGTCAGACAACTGTGTTTAAAACGGAGAATAAGATTTAAGCCATTTTTAGATCGACACAGAAAGTTGTTTCTTAACTTTACCTTTAATTCGTTTTCAGATTTCTTTGGGGCTTTGCAGCGCCCTATTTTCAATCAATTAAACCTTGTATTCTAATTAAATTTTTGAATTCCCTTCTTCTTTGGTCTGTTGTGTGTGACCTCACGGCATGTTACATGTTTTCAGTAAACACGTGTGGATCGTGACGTCTTTTTTTATATCGCGCAGACTGTTTAAATACGATATCATGCAATTGTTAAACAATTTAAACTAAACGAAAGATTAGTCTAGCGGGATTTTTTATAGACATGCTATACGCCAGCTATACGTTGTCTATTTGATAACGAATGCTGTTCTTTTGACATGGACACATCTTTACTCTTTCCCTTGGATATATCCAGTAAGTTAGTTCCTTTCATGTTCTCTTGCTTTGCTGCCCTGCGGTCATGGTATACACCTCTTTCCGTTTGACGGCTGACCTCTTTCGTGCCACGGAAGTCAGCTAAGAACAGCTAGCTCTTTTGAACAAAAAATCGTTACGTCATTATAAATAAGCCACATGAACCGTACGTCGAGGTATCAGTTAAATCGAGACTCCATTGGGACGCGAGCAAAGTCAGTACGTACAGTACAGTAAACTCCCTCTGACATCACCTCTGTATATTAATACGCCGCAAAGAAGAACAACTATCTGAAAAACTGGGACAAAGCTTAAGATAAATAAGGTAGGACTATATTCCTTTGAGGACTTTTATAGCAAGATTTTTACGCGAATTTAGTTACATTTAGCTCATCTGACTTGTTATTTTATTATGCTTAAATTGCTTACATTTATAAAAATAACTTTAAGCTTAAAACAGCAACAAAAAGTGCAAGTCACACTCTGAACTAATGATTTAGTGACGCTAACTTGTGAACTCTTATTCAGTGCAGATCCAATTTTTTTTTAAAAGAATTCCCATTTTAAGCATAAGATTTATACTGACGGATAAGAAGTCTGACAGGTTTTGACGAAAGCCTTCTTATCTGGAAACGTGTTTCAACTGTTTCATTACATAATTCTAAACTAGTTTCTTCTCGTTCCCGAACTAAGTTATGTAAGAGAAAACTCACAATAGTTTCCACCAACTTGTGTTTTGTTCCTCTTTTGACTCACGATAACTTTATTTATATCTAGCATTAAAGTTACATTCAGTCAATCTTTGGGAAGTCAATGTTTGGCCCAGAAAGGCCAATATTCTCATGTCACATTTATTATCAACCAGTTTAAAATGAAGTTTTGGTTTGTCACGTTTATGATGCTAATAACCTCTGATGATCGCGTGCGTGTTAGTTTGTTCTTGAGTGCCCAAACCCATCTAAAACGCCTCAGATTTACTAGACATCTCAAATATCATTACCGGTCCGTCAACGCTCCAAAACACGTCCTCGCGTGCATCACGAACAACACAGCGAATGCTAACATGCAACCTACCCTGACGCTGAAATTATGGTTAACCAAAGCAAACATTGTATAGATTTATTGATCAATGAACACTTTATATTTTCAGGGTGTGTTAAGATATCTTAACGGCTGGTATTTGAATTTGCGTGGGGGAAATAGCTATGACATAGTTATAGTTTGCGTGATGTGGTAATTTTCGTGATCGTTTGTTGTCAGAGCCTTTACCCCCATAGTGCTTTGCGTCAAAGGATGTTGCGTGACGCGTGCGCAGAACATAGCTTTAATACACCGCCACATGTGCGTTCGAAAGTCCAGCAGTCTCTCACTCAGTGCATACAGCCCGACTCACCAAGAGCAGCGTTAATCGATCGCGACGAGGGGATGTAAGAGAAAATCGCTACTTCTAATAAGTGATTTTCTTTCTCCCTTTCAGCAAGCTGCTGCATATGCAATGCTCTTAGAGCGTCAACAACATGGCTCTTGAATGACTTGGGGGGCTGAGGCATCGCGTCTTTGATGGCTGTGTGCAAGAGCCGGTCATTGATGGCGTTTCCCTCGACGCATTCCCAACACCCGTCGACGAGCTGCCACAATTCACATTACGCTCCGCTCGCCCAACAAGAAACACAACCAGACAAACCGATTGGTTATGGAGCGTTCGGCGTAGTGTGGTGAGTATTTTGGAAGATAATCGTTTCAGGTATGTAGGATTTTAATGCGTTCTTTTAACAATTGTTCCTCGTCCTCACAGGTCTGTGACGGATCCGAGAAATGGAAAGAGGGTCGCTTTGAAGAAGATGCCGAACGTTTTTCAGAGTCTTACTTCCTCGAAAAGAGCCTACCGGGAACTTAAGATGTTGTGTTTCTTCTCACATAACAACGTAGGTCTTCGCTTTTGTAAAGTTCTGGTTTAAAATGCCGGTATTACATAGAAATGCTGAGTTAATATTAGAACGGAGTACGTCATTATTCAAACATGCACCGGCCGCTTTTGGCGTGAGTTGTTAACAAGGAAATTTCATCTGTCGACTGATAATCAGCTGATTATTATTTCATCATGTAGGTACTCTCCGCTTTGGACATAGTTCACCCTGGTCACATAGATTTCTTCCAAGAGATGTATCCTTTGTCAATGTACATATGTATTTACCTTTGTAGCGTGACAGAACGAAATCTAAAACAATAATTCGACATTAATTTCAGACACGGGTTTGACTCGAGGAGGGGCTTTTTCTACTTCGACTTTCTGTCGTTGGAATTCATCGTTTGAAAAAGATCCAGAATAGTAATGTTGTGTTGACTAATGTGAAAATTAATCAACATTGAGATGCTGAAGTTCGCTTTAGCCTAAAATATATTCAAAGCTTAGCTACAAATATCGCGCTGTCGCCTGTAAAGAAGTAAATTGAAGCAAATGTTCGGCCTCCCATAGCGGCTGCAAGACTGTTTTCGTTCACTGTGAAAAGGCGAATATTTGTGGTTTTGATATATCGTCAAAGTGAACTTGTTCTTTGTAGGAGTTTGAGCTTTTGTAAAGATCTCGACGATCGAACCCACTTCGCTTCCCCACCTGTTGATTTCAAATTTCGCTTTGTGTTTGATGACGCCGACAGAGTTGAGTTGCAGTTGTTACAACACATTGCTATATTTTTAGCCAAACCTCTCAATTTTCCTTTTCTTTGAATTTTACAAGTTGATGACGGTTCTTTGGTCACTTGCGTTGGAAAGTTCGGCGTTCTTTGTTAGGAAATATTTGTCAGTTCCGGTCAATGGTTAGTCGATCTGTATTTGAACCATGACAACAAAAGGGACGACTTCCTTTGTGTTGATGTCTTTCCTTTTATCAGGATCGTCTTAAAGAATCGGACGCCGTAGATCATTTTTACTTACATTTTTGTTATTTATCTAGGGAGTCTAAATGGTCAATTGTCGCCTTTTTGTTGGTATTTCTGGCATGTGTTTTTGTGTTATCTGTTTATTGGGCCAAAGATTCATTTCAGACCTTTAATGATCCATAGTTATCCTGGTTTACATATGTTTGGTAATTTCGATAGCTGCATAAGACAAGCATCTCTTGAGTATTGTGCTTCTAACCTGTGCTTCTATCAGTCTTTCATTTTCACCACATTTAACTACAGTACATGACTAACTTCCTGCTCGTGATATATGGAATGGTTTCTTCTTTGTAGCAGGAATTATCATAATTTAAATTTTCAGTGACCTACATGATAAACTGCCAACTTCTGTTGTGCTGTCAAGGTTGCTATGGTATCAACACTTTCTTTCAGGTAGGACTTAATTCTACTTCATTCTTGCTCTGGCATACAAGTCATTGGCATTCACAAAAACTCCAAAGGGTTTTTTGTTCAAAACTGTAAAGTGAAATTAATTATATGGGACACTTTTCAGTTTCAGCGAAACTGTTTAAGGAAGTTCTACCAGTTCTATTTATTGGCTCTGATCAAAGTCTTTTACAGGAAACTCAAAATGTTATTGCCACAACAGTGTGATAAAAATTATGCACTTTTACACAGAAGATGGGAGATTATTTGGCCACTACCCTCTCCTTTGTGTTTTATGAAGGAGTAACTACAAATCATTGTGACATTGTGAAGTATAGTAGGGCTCCAAGGACAGTTTTATGTCAAAGTCCTCATTTGGAAAACCCAAATGATAAGATGGTCATCAGGAGCAATTTTTAAGTTGACAACAAAAGAAAGGAATACATGTAGGGACTCTTTGTGAAATGCTACAGCTACATAGCAGACAACTAGTGAAGCATCTCCCTCTTGTTTTTGATAAGGAATACAGATTTCTGTAGGTTGTTTATGGAGGTTAAGTAGGCTTTATTTTAGGTAAAAAGGAATTTTTTTTTTTTGAAAGAAAGAACAAAAATTTTAGAGTGCTGTATGCAAATGAGAATTTCACTTGAATTTCAAACCAGAAAAGGGTCTGATATTGATGTTGCTGTTTTTTAAATGACTGTTGAACACAGGTCACCAAATTGGCTACTTTCTCTTTGAATTCAGGCACTAAATTTTGTTCCACTTGCCACAGCAACCAAATTAGTCACAGTATATACATGTAGCTCTGAATAGTGCCTGTTTTGTTTGGCATAACAATAAGAATTCTTGCAACACACACCTTTGTTTCCCAGGTAGTCTTAGTCATTATACTGAATGTCCACCTGCATTTGTCATTGAATAGGAAGGTCAATGTTGAGGAAAATGCCTGGATTTTTATGAAGTTTCAACCATCAAAATCAAAATTTGTTTAATTATCTTATCAGTGGGTATAACAAAAATAATTGTGATATAATCTGAATACTGAAATTTGGTGTTTTAGTTTGTGGCTTTTTATATCAAAATTTCCACAACCCATTCTGAATTGTAGTTTGGCTTCTAACATGGACTGACCACAACTTCATACTAATGCAGAGAAATTGTATGGATATTTAATATCTTTAATTGTTTTTTCTTTATGGCAAAAGATGTTCCTGTAAACAATTCAAAAGAAATTTTGAATTCGAATTTCACTGTTGAAATCAGTCATGTATGGTTTGCTAGCAGCTGTTTATAACTTGTTGTTGATGAATCAGAAAGTAGGCGGAACACTGAACATATAAATGTTCATTTTAAAGTTGTCAAATAATTTGCTATACTGAGTGGATGCTAATTAGAAATGAAGTTTTGAATGCAGATCTATCTCTTGAGTTTTTTGGGAGGAGGTACAGAATATTCTGCCCTTTCTAATTGGAATTTTTTAAATAATGAACTGATTTGAAGATTCAAAGTGAAAAAGGGGCATCTTGCTCAGCTGAGAGAAGACACAGGTCATTTAACTGCCTATTAAAGTAATGGAAAAGCTGGCATCTAAGGTTTGCTCTTTGTCAAAGTTTTATTAAAAGAAAGACGACTGAGACAAAAATGTTTAATTGTTTTGGCTTAGTATCATACATGTACAGTTACTACAATGTGCTCTTCCCCAAACCTAACTTGAATTTGAGAGAGCAATAGAATTCATGAATGTAAACAAACTGATCATTAGCAAAGGGAGACGAGGCTGTGGTCAGATTATATATCATGTGTTACATTCCTTAACTTGTTGTTTAACAGACATATAGTTTCAGAATTGATGCAATCAGACTTGCACAAAATCATTGTATCACCACAACCACTTAGTTCAGATCATGTTAAAGTTTTCCTATATCAGATTCTAAGAGGTAAGTTGCTATTGTTTTTAGCTTCTGATTGGTTAAGGAAAGCTGTTAGTGACTGTTCTATCCCAGTCCAGAGCTGCAAACAACTGCTATCCAGAGGGGAAATGTGCAACTAGAATTAGCTCACATCTTACAATGTCTTGATTGTAGTTGGATGTTTTGTCAAATGTTTTCACTCAGTTAAGTAGAAACTTGCACACTTTTGGAAGGCAATTATCTAGGAGTGAAAAATTATAAGAGGAGAGTGTGATCTTACCTTTCTCCCGAACAAAACGACATAACTGAGTTATTTGCAGACCTACAGTTTCTCCCCAGAATGTGAAGTCACTGAAAAGGATGCTTGTATGTAGAGATATTAGAAGAGTAAATTCCCCCTGCACAGAAAGTCCAATTCTGTTATTACATTTTTTTTGTGATGTTCCCCTTCTATTGATAAAGAAAATCTGAATTGATTGTATCTGCAAGATCTTGCAAACTATATATCGATGATGAGAAATTTAAGTTTATTTGATATTCAGGAGACTCTATCTGAAATGGAATGGTGGAACTTTATTCAGAGTCTTCACTCAATGTCCATGGAGAGTTGTTTCTATTTTTTTAATTCTTGTGCATCCGACAGTAAGGACCATGACAGATGAAACAGAAGAGTTCCCTTAGCCTTAAGCCTTAGCCTATTTAGACTTAAGAGCTTTTTGCACTATAAAAGCTTCCCTTTTATATGTACAGGACTTAAATATCTTCACTCTGCTGGCATATTGCATAGAGACATTAAACCTGGGAATTTATTAGTCAATGGCAATTGTCTTTTGAAAGTAAGTATCGTTACTTTTTTTATTTTACTATTTGGTGTTCTGCATTTGATGTTTAATCTATTCAATGTATCTTTTTAGTCAAGAGTGAGACACAAGTGTGAATTGAACATAATCAAGAAATCAAATTTAGATAAGACAAAATGATACATTCTGTGAGATGCTTATAAGTAGTTGTGATTTTTGTACCCTCAGTAACCTACCGTCTAGGTGACCAGTTTTGAGTTTGGAATTAAACTAAAGGATCCTAGATTTTTGAGAATTTGTGGGGCAAAAAAAAAATTTTAAATAAATGCTGCAGTGCTTGTCCAAGTAAATACACATGCAGTTTTTGAGAAGGAAGTGGACATTGTCTACACTGTTGTGAATACTTCTTGAAATTAAAGAGCAAACCAGCAAAAAGGTGAAGATCAAGTTTGTCAGTTTGTGGGTAACTTGTGTGACTGAACTGATGTATATCCAAGCAAAAGGCAAAAGCAGACTAGATTTTGAAAAACTGTAGGTTGTGTATGCACCCAACCCTCCAATTATAAAAAAACATTTAATGACAACTCTGTTGATAATCATGTTATTGTAAGAAACCTAACCTTTTCTGATTAAACACAAATTTCCCATCTTCCACTACAGATATGTGATTTTGGTCTTGCTCGTCTTGAAGAACCTCATGAAAGTGCAGTCATGACACAAGAGGTAGGGATATTTTCAGTGTATATGTTGTAGTTCAATTTTATCCTTGGTTCAAATTTTATTTTCCTTTGTTTCAAACTCATTATCATACATCAACAGGACCAAGAACAAAGGAAAATAAATTTGAACCAAGGATAAAATTGAACTACAACATATACATTGTAACTTATGTGACTCACCCAGCAGTCTTGGTGATTCAAACAATCAGATTTATCAACTATCTTGTCTATTAACATTAGTCATTATCATGGTGTAAACAGTTACATAATATTGAAGCCATGAAGAAAGTGGTTGATGCAAATTGTTTTAAAAAGGAATGCAACAAAAGTATGCTGAATTGCAAACCATGAAAACAGACCTACCTTGTCTTCAGCTCTTTTTACAATCAAATTTTCATAACTGAGCATGCATACAGGGCTCTAGAAGTTGAGTAAAATTAGTAGCCTATTAATGAGACATTAATGCTGTAACAGAGCAAAGGTTAAGCTGAGTTAGAATTGGGCACAATTTGAATATATCAACAAAGTTGAAATGGTAAATTGGCCACCGTTACCATTATAAAAGCTGACATTTCGAGTGTTAGCCCTTCGTCGGAGCAAATAGGGGAATTGTGGGTTGTATGTGCTTTTAAAGGCAGAAAAAGGAGCTACGTTATTGGTAGGAACATGGCAACGAGAAAAACACGAATAAATTAGTGGAATGAAAAGCGTTCATTGATACCTGTGGGATTTAGACTGCCAGTTTGAAAGATGAGCTTTTGTTCAAGAGAATTGGGCAGTTTAGTAGATCTGTTTTAAATGGACATAACTTTGCAAGGGTCTTCTGGGTGTCTTCTTTATACAGTTTTTTCTTGGATTATGTTGACAAGAAAGTTTTAATGGACAGTCTAAACAACATGACAAGGTGATGTCTTTGTTACTGTATCTTTGTAACAGGTTGTTACTCAGTATTACAGAGCACCTGAACTGTTAGCTGGAGCTACCAACTATGGACAAGCAGGTTTGTAGACAACAGTAACATTAGTGATCTTGAATCTTCATAAGACCATACACAAATGTGAGTTAAAAACGGATAACCTGCTAAAAAATTCCAGAACCTTACTTGAACCTTTGGATATGATGATAAATGATATGATAAACCGCTTTGCTTATGATAGTCTTCCTCCAACATGCTTTAAGTATGCTGTAATTAGAATGAGACTGGGAGAGGATGATTTAGAATGAAAAGAAGCTTTGTCTGATCTTAGCTTACACTTTCATCAACAATTTTTAGTCTAAAGTGGGCCTTCTAAATTTTGTCATTCTGTGTGTGTACAAGCTTTATCTTGATTATTGAATTTCATTGCTTTTTCACCTTTCAGTGGATGTGTGGTCAGTTGGATGCATTTTTGCTGAGCTCTTGAGTAGAAATATCCTTTTCCAGGCACAGAGTCCTGTTCAGCAGGTAGGTGAATACTGGTAATTCTTTATTTTAATTACATCATCAGACTTCTTGCAGACACATTTAGCAGCTTTGTATTGTTTCCAAACTTAATGACACATGGCTGATGTATCATTGCAGCTTAACCTTATCATTGATTTGTTGGGAACACCAAGTTTAGATGACTTATGCCGTGCTGGTGCCAGCGAAGGAGCCACTAAATACATTCTTCAGAAAGGGCACAAGGCTGTAAGTTGCACAAAACCAACAAATATATTTTGTATTGTTTTGAAGGAGTCAATTCTCATAGATAGATAGATAGATAGATAGATAGATAGATAGATAGATAGATAGATGGATAGATAGATGGATAGATAGATAGATAGATGGATAGATAGATGGATAGATAGATAGATAGATAGATAGATAGATAGATAGATATATAGATAGATGGATAGATAGATAGATGGTTAATTTGCTAAAAGAGTTGCAGCCAAAGCTGAAATACACTATAGCTTACAATTAAAATTTTCTAAGAAAAAATATATGAATATATAATTATGTAAAATATGAATAAGAATTATAAAAATATAATAAAATCTAAAATATGGTATTTTCTGTCATTTATTGTTCTAGCCGGCCCTAGCTAGTTTATATAATCTCTCTAATCAAGCAACACATGAAGCTGTTCATTTGCTCTGTAGAATGCTGGTGTTTGACCCTGTAAGTATGTATTTCAAGTTCAATATATAGTTTACTTATTTATCTCTGCTGTTCTCTGACAATATTTCACTATTGTTAGTCCTGAAAACTTGGTCCAGAAATTAAAGAAGGAATTACTGAACTGGGTCTTTATATAAATTGTTTCCATGACTTCTATTTAGACTTTAATTATACCCGCAGACAGTTATTTCCCTCAAAATATAACACTGGTCAATGGTTGTTGTTAAGTGAGGTAAAGTCATTTGAATATCCATTCTTGGTTTTGAAGTAGCCCTTTGAAGTACCATTTTAAAAACCAGCTCAAGATTGGGTTGGTTTTTATTCTGGCTACTGCCTCCTATGGAGGCAAAGCCATAATGTTGTCCTGTTAAGTGAGTGTAACAATAGAATACAAACTCTTTGCCCACAACAAAGTCTGCCAAGTTCTACTTGATATTCCTTGCTCTTGGTTTTTGTCCGTTTCGGGACATTTTCGGTCTTTCAACACTTGGATTGCTTCAAATGTTACTTGGATTAGTACATGATTATATAGTTTCCTGATGTTACTTATTGTTTGTTTCAAACTACTTTACAAAAAGATAAGCATCTCACAATTACTTCAGGATGGCATTTGAAAAAACGAAGCTTTACTCTGCAGAAATGTCTTAAAAGGTGTGATCAGCACATCAAGCAAACTTAAAAGGAAAATTTCTTCTTTGATGAGAGAGTATTTTACCATTCAAATCAGAGTATTATGCCCAGTAGATTTGGAGAATGATTTTTTCAGTTCTTGCTGTGACAACACAGAAGATGAGAAATGTCTCAAAATAATTTCACATCTGATCTGCACATCGTAGAAAATTTGAAGAAAATCTTTTTATGGAAAAGAGAACACTATACCATTTCAATCAGTGACAAATGCTCAAAAGAGCCACTAAATTTGTGAGTATGGTCCAAAATATGATACCTGGAGTTTACAGTGACCCTGTGGAATGGCAGAATAGCCCACAACTTGGAATACCTTGTTGTATGAAACAAAAGTCTAAAAAAGTGGAATTGCAATGAAATAAGAAAATAATTTATAATTAACAGGCAAAATCGGAGTTAAAATTAAAGGAAGCCTAGTTTAATCATTATTGGAACCTAGAGAATAGCCTGATAGAAGAACAGTGAGGTTCTTGAGGTAGTCCCTATAAGTTATCATTATTATAAGTATTTTTATCCTTATTATCATTAATATTATTATTATTGTTAAATAATTATGATGATTTGTTACCATTGGTGGGTGAGTGTCAATTAGTCACTGCATTCTTGAACCATCTTTCCCTTGTGGAACAAGCCTAACTCATAAATATGTGGTATGCCTATTTTTCCTCCATGCAGGTAATTTAAAGAACATTTTTCAACTTGCAATGTATTTTTTTGGTCCTAGACGCAGCGTATAACTTGCACAGATGCATTATCCCACCCTTACCTTGATGAAGGGAGGTTAAGATTTCACACATGCATGTGCAGTTGCTGTCACACAACATCAGATGGGAGGCAGTATGTTTCAGGTGTGATGTCTTCACTGATGTGAAAATTTCATGAGTTCTTTGTGGCATTTGATTTTGTATAGTTTAAAATTAATCTAACTTATTTTTGTCTCTTCCATAGACTTTGAGCCTGTATGCCAATCAACTTTTGATGATTCTTATGAAACAAATCTCTACACCATTTCTCGTGTCAAAGGTTTGTATACAGATTTATTTGTTTCTTTTTTTAATATTCAATTGTATTTTGAAAAGAAAGATTTATTTCTTACTGTGTTTGATTTCCTCTTTTCAGAGTCTCTTTACAAGTTTATAACGGATCGTCATCAGAACACTATTCCTCTGTGTATTAATGTAGCTTCTCCTTCTTTTAGAAGTTTTCAAAGGTAAGATGATATTGATTTTCCTTTTTTAATTCTTTCTATGGTATCACATTGTTTATTTTTGAAAAGCATCATGGCATGTTTAGCCAAGTTGAAATACTGAAGTTCTAATAAGCTGATTTTTAGTTGACTCAAAATTTGTCTTTCTTTTCTAACAATTCTTGTACAGTGTGTTTTTGTTTCAAGATACTGTTCATAGTTTCATCCCTGAGAATGTTCACAATTCAAGCTGAATCTTAGATTACTTATCCACCCACCTTTATGGAAACCAATCTCAGGAACTCATCTTAAATTTTTTAGTACAACAAACCTTATTTTTATTCAAATTCAATTGTATAAAAAGGAATATAATTATGTATCTGCTCTATTCAACTGCTTCTTGAACTATGAATCACCTACTTGTATTTACTAGCCTGTTATTTTGCCTACAACTGTAGCTCTCCAATAAGTTATCTGTAGCTTAGTCAGTGGATAATCTGACCACAATATTGGTATTTGGAGGTCTGGGACTCAAATCCTGGTGAAAACTCACATTTTCCTTATGAAATGTTCATGACAAACACTTGTCATCTTACTTTATTTACAATTTTTTTCTTTTCTTTTTTCCCAGTTCTGGAGTAGCTCCCCAGCCAGAACAGCAGAGTTCCCCTCAGCTGTGGTAGTGGTCATCCTTTTTATCAACAAGTCATAAATATTTTATGAATCAAGCTTCTTAGTTTTGAAGGGAAGCAAATTTTCCAGATGGAGACCATTTGTGAGCAGTATGGTGTGGGGCCTCCCCAGGGACTCTTTTGATCCACTCCATTTCTTTGCATAAAGGTAAAAAGAATTTTATAGGAACAATGGAAGGTAATATCTTGTATTCTATATTTGCAGCTACGTTCATCGCTTCAGCAAAATGTATAGGCCAAGTTAGTCATGATTAATGAAATATTCAGTCAATGTTTGTCTGTACAATAATTACTCAGTAACTTTTATTGCAATGGGCCTTCAAAGGGCTTTATGTTGTAGAAGAGAATACAATAGCTGATGTTAAGGGCCATGTTTTACTGTTAAAGGATTCTGTTTAAGTTTTAAACTGTTCAAGACTTTACAGGATTTAAGAATTCTTTGACCCTCTGGGGTAAGCAAAGTAGAATTTCTTCCTATTTATTCTATCATCTTTTATTGTATTGTCTGGATGCAAATGAATATTAGACATTTTCAAAGAAGTAGCTTGTGGATGATTTGAATTGAAAGAAAAATGGAAATCAATATGAATGAATGTAGGCACTTTTCTTTTAGTAAAGTTGTGTGGATTTGTTTTGAAATTTTTTCTAGTGGACCTTGCCAGACTCTGTGTTAGATTAAGTTTATCCAATTTTTGCCATTTATCAGATAATCCAATTCTTCACTGCTGTTGTTATATGATATCATATCATTGTCATCATCATCATCATCATCATCATCATCATTATTATTATTATTATTACTATTTATCATTATGTAAATAATTTTGAGTTGGGAAATGCTTTTCAAAATTGAAGGTTCTTCAATTTCTCTTTATTTTCCAATTTTTTTTTTCTTCCTGGGTCCATTGTTTTAGAAAGCTGTATACAATTTCAATACCACATTAACTTGGTAAAAAAAGGGGTATTTTGCTTTTTCAGATAGTGAGTCCACTACTTCAAAGACTTAAATCTATTAAGGAAACTAATTTTCCTGAAAATTCACTAAATGTTTTCCTTAGTTGTCATGGACTCGCTTTATATTGTACAAAATTTGCTATATGCAAGAATCACTTTTTTTAAAGTGTCCTTTTAGCTACTTACATGGAGATTGGGTAAATGTAGGTAAATATCTGAGCAGGCTTTCTGAAAATCAAGATATGGAATGTTCTACATTGTTGAGTGGCAGGCCTTGTAATTAATGTGAACATGTTCAAATGATGAGGTTGTAAGAAGTTAAGTTAAAGACATTGTATTGTCTGCCAAATAACTTTTGGACTAATACTATCCTCATCAACATTTAAGTTCCAGTTGTGTAACTGTTTTCAATGTCTGAATGTGTTAGTGATGTGCTTTTTGTGCATTTCGTAGTATGTCACTTTTTCCTAATCCATATTTGTAGTAGTTTCACACAATTCTCATTTTATATTGTTGTAAAGTAAAATTTAAAAAATCGGAAAACTCTTTTTAAGGTAAGAGATAATTAGCAAACTTTTGTTTTCTTAAATTGTTGGATTTGTTTATGTGCCTTTCTTTTTTTAGTTTTTTTTTTTTTTTTTACCAAGATCCTTGTTTGGTTGGAATGATCAACCTTTCATTTCTAAGATTGCCAATCAAAAACAGGCTTGAGGGCTAGTTAGGTCATTTTTACCGCCCCTCAAAGACACTGTTTGAAAGCTCGTGCAGGAAGGGTGACATACACAATTAAAATGTTTACAAAATACCTTTGAAATAAGACTTAAAACATGATAACCAAAGATGGAGTCAATACAAAGTTATAGATGGACAAGGTTAGCGCTGACTCCGATTGCAAACAATGAACCAGTTAAAGGTGAAATTTAAATTTGCAGTTACATCGACAATTATGTATCATAGATCTGTAGTTGTCACTCTAGAAATGAAAGGATCCAGCCTCGTAGAAACACTAACTGCAGCACTTGCTTCCAGACTCAGACAAATCGTAAATATTTCTTCTTGAATAGAGGCCAAGAGTAAGACGGAGCAGCGGTGGTGCTCTTGCTGATTCAGGCTGTTATCATTTACCGTACATGAATCAGATGTCTTCATTGTATCCGCTCTTTGTCGATTTTCGCGTTTCAAACCAAGGAAGCTTAGGATTTGTCGATTCTGTTAGCAAACTGCAGTTATGTTAAAGGGAAACGACTTAGATATTTCTTTTTTTTTTATCATTTATTTATTTATTTCCTTAAGTGAAGTTGATATTTATATATATATATATATATACATATATGTGCTTTCGCAAAAAGCTTTCTTGTGCCAAAGCTCGCAATCTGCATCGTGTAACGGCCTACTGAAAGAGCCGTACTTGTTGTTAAGTGAAATGAATTGTAAAAAAAAAAAAAAATGGCGCTGCAGGCAAATAGGTTAAATAAAGGATACATTTTATACATTTTAAATTGATTTCTTCTTTCCTCATGTCCATACCCGTAGTACCCCGTACTACTAACAGTGAAACAAAAAGGAAAAACCAAACAAAAACGATAAAACAGTAAATGGTTTTAACCCGGGGATAACATGTGATAGTGTAGTCCAGATGATTGTAGTTCTGAGAAGGATTGTGGGTAGTGGTGGCTGACGTGTCGACATACTGTGCGTAGGTCATCATCAGAGTTGAATGTATAGCGGTCGTTAGTCTTGTAATGTTCTAAGTCAGTTTTTATCACAAGACTGACTTGTCATAAACTGACCAATCAGTTTTATTAGTAAACCGATTGATCAGTTTTGCGTGTTGTTATTGGCTAGAAGACTCAGGTGGCGTTAGTCGGTGGTGATAGCTCTTCCGAGCCGCTGGTAAAGTCGGGTCTTTCTGTTCGGCTCGTGAATTGGATTGTATGGTGCTCGTAGTAGTTGACACTTGTTGAGGGGAGTCTGTTCTAAGTTAGAAAACAATTTAAAGAGTCAGTCGTGGAAAGTAGTTGGTGCTGTAGTTTAGGTATTGCGCAGAGTCGCATTCAATAGTGAGGTTCGTAAGTCGATGATGTTCAGCAATGTGATCGGTGACATCGCCTTTCCTCATTGCCCGCTTGTGTGCAGTCAGTCTTTTTGTGAGATTTCTGCCAGTCTCTCCGATGTAGGAGGCTTGGCAGTCGGAACAATTGCTCTCGTAAACCGCTCCTTGTCTTTTCCTCGGTGATGTAGTGTAGTGTTGTGATAGGTTTGTGGTTTACGCGAATATTGTAGGATGCGTGAGATGTTCTCAGTTTGTCCCCTGACCATGCAGTGCATAATCACTTTCAATGCCACAGTTAATCGTGTTAGCAGCTTTTTCTTGGCTGCACATGTTCTTACATATGTATCACACCTCGATTTGTTGAGGCCTGAATAACGTGACAATCTTGAGAGTAGAGACAAAACAAACATCTTTAGAAGCTATCATTCCGCAAACCACGAACACGGCTGTGACAGAAACACCCACTCACGAACCAGTCGATAATATTTATCATGAGGTTTACTTATTAGGGAAGACATGCTAGACGTGCCTTCACATTGTTGGTCTGACATTGGAATTTTAATTGTTTTTCAAGATTCTGGAACGCTCCAAGGATAATTTACCTTAAAGGAGACGTTTGCTGCGGCGTCATTCTAACTAAAATTACCATTTCCCAAAGATTCGTCGATAAGTTATAGAAGTTTGAGCAATCGGGTAAGGCTACCATGAAATGTTGTTGGTCAAAACAGGGGAAATTGACTCTGAAGGGAGCGAAATCGAAAGGTGAGAGGAAAGTTTCTCTATTAACAACAACGACTGTTCCTCCTGACATTGTATTGTGATAAATAAGGAGAACTGTCAAATTACAACCACCTACGTGGGTGAGGTATGAATGGTGCAGTGAGTTGAATTCGTGGATGTAAATTTTCTTTCTGTTCTTTACTCTCATACAAGACAGATTTAAGATTCTCGCTTTCCTTTTACTGTTTTATATATTAATTTTTTGGTTCCAGTGGTTAAACAACTCGTGAGAGTGACTCTAGGGTGTACATGGACGCAAATGTTATCTTACACGGTTTGCAACAAACCGTCTCAAACCCAAACGGAAACATTATAGTACCGCGGTGAGATATCATCTATTCAGTTTCGAGAAAAGTTTCTTGTGTGACTTATGGCTGAAAAATGCTTTAGACTGCATTAATGCAAAATCCAAACAACTATGTCAAAAAAGTAAAGAAGATTATCGATTGGATAAGTTTCAAAATGTTGATTCGCGATAGCTGTTATAATATCCAGTTTAAGTCGCTTATGGCCAAATTTATATTACTAATAATGAAAAGTATAAGTCGGTATCATCAAGAGCAGAAGATGCTTTTCGTCAGTAGAGAGTTGCGGACTGAATGGACCATCATGATTATATTGATCTGCCGGAATGATCAAGGCTCATTTGCAAAGTTTCACATACTTTATTTTCAAATGCAAATAAAGTACACCTGAGGAAAGTTTAATAAATGCAGTACCAAGAAAAGTATTTCAGCAAGATTTGTTTTTCGCATGTGCTGATAAACATATTGAAATAGACTTAATGTGTTTTATACACCGAGTTTTCTCGATGTTATTTAGTGCTCAATATTTCCAGTTGATGAGACCGAAATAACTCTAAATTATTAGCACACTATTTTCAGAGAATGACGCTTATTTCCTCTTGAGGCCGCCCCACGTAGGTGACCTTTGTTCATGTTTTTGGAGAACTAATTCTGATTTTTATAACGTTGCTGTTAAAGTAACATTGAATACACCAAAAACAACGTTTATATTGTAGGTCAGTCAAAGACGAAGCTACAACGGAATGTGCAAATTGTCAACAAACTCAGATGTATTTGAATATCAAACAGTCAACACGCATTTGAGCTAAGGCAGTTCGACAACTGGTTAGAACTGGCTGTCCAAAAAGGTTGTTAATCAAATGGATTCGAAATTCTGCCAAAAACAGCTAAGGCTACAGCTAAGGGCCCATTCGTTAAGGCGTTTGTCAAAATTGAACTATTCAGCAAAACAGTCGGACTGAATACAAGGGAAATACCTGCGATGTTTTAGTTGTTGTTGTTTTATATCAACTGGAACAAAGTTTTGCCGAGAGGCCAACCTCTGCGCATGTGTAGTGAAGAGGTGTATGCCACGGAAGTGACTGTCGAGGACACAGCGGCAAAATAAGTGTGCGAAAATTTTTATAGTAACAATATATCAATGGGAACAGGATTGCGGGAAAATTGCGGCATTTTAAAAATCCCCAATGTTTTTTTTCATTTTGCGAGGATAAGCTCAAACAAAGACAGGTGAAGTCGAACCTCCTCTGTCACATATCTCACTAAAAAAAAAATAATATTGCGGTAACAGGTGTGAATCTAGGGATTGAAGTAGAACATCTGTAACATGGATACGAAGTTCGTAGCAACAGCGTGTCGCTTTGGCTGTCTGGATGAATTTAAAACAGCTTACGATGAGCTAAATCAAAAGAATGCTACTCATCCCTTCCGACGTTTCCCGCCAAAGGAACAAACTCCATTAAATTTTCCAGTTGCTTCACATCGATAACACTGTAAAAAAGGGTTAAATGATGTCCTCCTGGTTCCCCAACGAAATTAATTCAAACTAGAGTCACAAAACGCTTCCCAAACACACCATATGCGCTGAGCATGCGCGCTCATTTTGCCCCTGTGTCATAGTCAAGGAGTTGCAACAAGGGCAAACTTTCACCCCTTGTATCTTAGGTTTCACTCTCTATTTCATCGTAATGTTAAATTGTACAGGAGCATTGCCTGTGGAGTTTAAATGAGATAGCTGGACGCGGCACATTTAAAATACAGACTACGAGTTCATCGAGTAAACGGCAGAACAATATTGACCCGAACAAATCCACAAAACCGATTTTTACATCTAACAAATCAGCAGTCAGAACATGATAGGCTTTACTGGCTTATCACCAACAAATCTTATCAAACATTAATGCGCATGATTAGGTTGACGTCTGGCTTAGTTCAAAGACTTACGCTCGATTCATATTACACCCGGATACAAACATCGCTCGCTCACGGAGCGACTGGAGGTAACAAATCTTCTCTGCTTTTAGTTTAGTGGGTAAGTTTTTTCAAGTGACCCTCTTTGACAAAACGTTGCCAAACTAGCAGTATTTCCTTGAATGAGTGCCACTGAAATTTCTCTTTTACTTCGAATAATAACTTGACTTTGACAGTCGCTATTGAGCTTTACTTTAAAAAAATATTTATGTCAGACCTGTTAAAGAGTGTTGTTCGCTCTGTGAGGTCAACGGCGTAAATATGCGTCCTTTTAGCACGTAAAATTGTGTCATATTCTCACACGCGACTGACACCACGAAATGATCTCTTTTCCGAGTGTTACTGACTGATGTTGAAAAAAAGCAACATTTCAGATTTAGCATGCGACAAAAGAGCACCTTTAGCTGAGCTGATTCTCCCTTGCCCTTAAAGAAAAGGCTGGTTTAGAGGAAGAGACAGGAGCTCTTTCAGTTCAGGAAACTTGAATATGATAATTTCACGCACTTTACAAACACGCGTATTTTGACGAATTTTTTCCTGTAGTAAAAATCACCCGAGTTATAAAATTGAGATACTTGTTGTCACGAACGATATCTTTTGTTACACCCAAGTTGTTTCGTGACGTCATAGTTATGGTGACGTTAAAGATGTCGATAAGCGCATTGCGTTTATTTACGTAGAACAAATATAATGACCGACCAAGCCACATCAGACATTAAATTTACATGGAATTGTTGAAAGTGCCAACTTGAAACGTCCAATCGGCGACAACATTCACTCGGCTTGCCAGAACACTTTAGCTTCAATCTCACATGTTCCCGGCGTAACAACAATTTATGGTTATGCTCTCTTACAATAAGGAAATTCTTTTTTTTTAGTGGAGAGCACAGACCTAGTAAAGATGTCCTCAAGAATTAAAAGCGGGAAGTTGCGAGTTGTCCATTGTCTCGGCGAAGATCACAATGATGTCGCTGTATTATACTGTGCTGTGGATCCCAAAGAAGAGACCCTCGCTACGTGTTGTGCTGATGGAAAAATAAATTTATGGACAATAGCAACCGGGCAGAATTTAAGAACTCTTTCAGGTGGCCATACGGACCAGATCACATCGTGTGCGTTCTCTTCGATAGGAAACATTTTGGCGTCTTCGTCTCTAGACAAAAAAGTCATTCTGTGGCATTATAAGACTGGGAAACGGGCTTCTCGTTTAGGTAAGAAATTTCATCCCTTTCTTCCTTTAACACCATTTTTATTTATGGAATATAGCACTGAGAAAGATAAAAAATAAAACCAGTTCTTATTTGAATCATTTAACTCAAAACCAGATGCGCTACAGACAAAGTGCATTATGTATTCACTTAGAGTTGACCAAGAAGATTTTCAATTGGCAAGAGCATTTGCTTCTGCTATAATAACGAGCTAAACAATTAAGAGACGATTTTCAGAGATGAAATATTTAACAATTCAGGCAAAGCCCCTTTTCCCCCGTAGAACAAGTTGATCCGGGAAAAAGTGCCGATTTTTCAATTTGATGTACGCGAAAATGTTTCACCGCAAAGACATCAACAAAGATGTTGTCGTACGGCAGTACACATTTTCCCTGTCCGCATCAATACTCCCTAGCGTTCAAAAAGCCAGCTTTGTTTAAATTTAATTTTTTCCTTCTGATGCTATTGAAATAGAAGAAATTTAGGAGGCTTTACAATTAAATTTCCTTGAGGAAAGCACAGAACACAATCGAACATCGTTCGCAATCGAATGTTAATATTTAAATCGAAAGCAGAGACTCAAAGTGCACCTGTTTGTCGCAGCTTATAATCAAATATTTATCGTGCAAGGTTTGTTTACAAGTCGTATAAATGTACATCACAATTGAACCGGAAAATTGCGTTTTGTCAGTTTTACTTTTTTCCAGGAGAGTACTTTTTTAACATTCAGATTTTTTTCCCGTAAATCTAGATAAAGTTATCTCTGGTTTGTGGAATTTCGCCCGATTTGTATCTATCATTTTCTACTAAAAAGTACCGCTTGAGACAGAACGTTTTAAAAAAATGAATGAAAAATATTCTATTGGCCCAAAAAAATTGCATTTTTCCGCATGATTACACCTTCTATGTCTCAAGTTAATTGACTTTTAGTCAGTTCAAGAGGAAGTTCTCAAAACTAAAACGCTGTAGTAACCTGTACGCAGATCTGGTGAAATTGTCGAGCTCATTTACAAAAAAAGGCCAACAAGGTTTAATTTTCATCATTTTTATCTGGTAAAAGTTGCATGAAAGTTATATGAGAAAATGACTAAAATTTTTGAAGCGATCGACATTATTCGTATTCACGATCTTTCTCAGTTTGATGCGACATAATCGGAGACGAAAACTTACTGCGGACAGTTTGTTTTTATATAACCCACCAGGATTGTTAAAAAAAACAAACAAACAAACAAACAAAATGAGAAGGATTTACCCCTTCTGCCGCGCAAAGACCTCCTAGTAGCTTCTATTTGGCACAAACAATTCCATTTTTCGTCCTTGTCAGTATAACTGATTCCCGAAGAACAAGACCACCTGCACAAAAATACAATAAAACTCGCTAACATGCGATTGTTAATCAAACAAAACAGAATTTAAATCATTCTAAACTGTATCGTTCCGTGATATTATTTTCAGTCAAGCTAGTTGAGGGATTGCTTTGGTTTTTGCCGCTCTATTCGCTTCGGAAGAAACGATGTAGCTTCTTTTTTTTTTTTTACAGAGCTCCACTCAGCTGCCGTCCTTCAGTGCACCTTTTCCAAAGATGGAAAACTTCTCGCCTCTGCCTCACGAGATAAGACTGCTCGCCTTTACAAGATACGGCCAGGTTCAGGGGAGTTTGTTCCCGGAGGGGACATTAAACAACTCGTAGGGCATACCGCCGCAGTAAATTGTATTCAGTTTTCGCCGGATGCTGCTATGGCACTCACAGGTTCAGATGACATGACGATCTGCGTGTGGAGACAGGATAGCGACTGGAGCTGTGTGGCCACTCTGGGCAAATTACCCGGACCTGTTAAGGGCGTAATATTCTCACCGGTCGACCCCGTGTTTGCTTCCTTAGCTGGCAACAGTGCAACAGTTTGGACAATGCATGGGACTAGCTATAATGTTGAAAACAGTGCAGACATCAGAAGCAGCAAACAATTGAAGGTTTGTTTGACATGGTCATAAACGAAAGCCGCTGCAGCAGCACTGGGGAAAAAAAAATGCACCTACCTGCCAGCGTTGCACCCCTTCGGCGATTGAAATTTTTTTTAAGGGTAACCTAGCTCTCCCTACCCTCCAAAGAGACGAGGAAGTGGGAGATCAGGTGGCCTACTGGATAGATTGACTAGTCTACCTCGGATAGAAAGGCCTAAGGCTCCAATCCTGTTAAGGGACGTAGAGGTTTTCTTTGTCTTTCAATTATAAAAACTTTTAATTTCTTCCTTTATGTTTGTCTTTTCTTCAGGCAATTTCCTTTATCCCAGATGGCAGGCACATAGTGGGTGTGGCAAGTGATGCTACGATAAACATCTGGGACTCTGTGGATGACAACGTTTGGAATAGTTGGAAGGATACTAGGTACGAGTATTGTTTACCTTATACTTTATATCCCCTTCCTTGAAACTATGTAGTATTGCTTACTTTATACCAGATGTGTGCTCCTTAACACAGCTAATCTTAGCTTCTTATCATCGTCTGTGTTCACCACACCAGTGGGAACATTACAAGATCACTTTCTTCAATAATCACGCTACACTCCGTGCCTCCACCCGGGACACATTTAAATTTACCCTTTCCACCCACTTTCTTTTCCTTTCTGCTCTTTTTTCTCCCGCTGGAGCTTGCCCCTCGACTTACTAGTGTTTCCTCTTATGCTAGAAATAAGTCATGTCCACCATTTCCATTTCTCCTGAGCGCATAACCACGCTCATGTTTGTCGCTCTTTATTGCCCTCTGTATCCATCTCAGTCATTGGCATCAGCGCATGGTCAGATGTCGTCGTCAGTGCTATCTTATCACACAGTCATAAGGAAGAATATCTTTGTAACGTTTTAGAAAAGTGCATCTTGCTGTCAACCCGGGATTAATTTTTTGGATGATAATCCGGCAATATGCGCAATATATACGGAAAGTTTTCGACAGATCGTTTCTCACGAAATAAAGTCCAAGTTCTTATTTCTCTAGCTGTCTTCAAGTTCACCTTTATGCAACTTGATTATTGTTTTACTTAAATTGCTTTTGATTTCGTTTCAGCTCAAATAAACATAACGGTGCAATCTTAACGTGCTGTTTCGCTGGAAGAAACTTTATCTCTGCTGATGAGACTGGATGTACGTTTGTTTGGGAGCTTATTGAGAGCAATGCAAAATAGCTCAAAACAACAATGACAAAGGCCAACTAAAACATTTAGCAACTCTTTGGAAGATTATTATCTCCAAAGCATTCTTCAGATAAAGAAATTTCAATCGAAATTGGGCTCTTCGCTTTACGCTTTTGGAACAGAAGCCCCAAAACTTTCATCTGACTCTGTCCAAAGTATCAATGAAAAAAGAGATTATACTATCCGCAGGCTACCCAGCCATCATTAATATGCTCCTCTAAATAATTGACAATATCAGAAAAAATTGATTGATGAGCTTTATCGCTGTAAACATATGAAGTGGATAAAAGATGATGTGAAAGAGAAAAGTAATATATAATCTAAACTAAGGGTTCAATATGTCTAAACCTCGGGAACTGTTATCATTACACATGATTTAAAAAAAGAAGTGTGAAAGGAGTTGAACTTTGAAAAAAAACAAAACAAAACAAATCAACGAACACAGCAAAGAAAACAATCCAGCCCTGAAACCAAGGGATAAAAATAATTAAGAAGATAAGCCTGTATCTTAAAGGTGGATGACGCGATGATTTGATTTGAATTTCCCGTTCTTAGCTCGCCGGAAGTAATAATTTAAAAAAATATCGATCGTCAAATACCGAGTAGAGTCCGGAACGATGCGAGAAGTGAGCCCCACAGGAACGTGTGTTTTAGGAAAGCTGATGCCGAATTAACTCCCCTTCCTTCAAACTATCAAATTGCGGTGACAAGAATTCCATTTTCCTAACCTTAGCAAAGTTTTTAATGTCAGTTTATCGCAAAGGAACTGAAAAACCCGCGCAGTTCATGGTCACCTCGCTAGCGTAATCATTGAATCGTCATGTGGTAAGAGTAGCGCTGCGCGAAAACGAGTCGATCTGAAGACGAGAATGAATAGTAAAAGGAGAACAAACCTGGACTTGTCTCCCAGCATTGAGGCAAGTGAGATTGTGGCTTAATAGGGGTAGAGTGAGAGGAAGATAATGACGAAATGGTTCACTGCTTAGGACTCTGAACGACGCCAGTTAAACAATTAGTTGGGATAAGAGCCTGGAGATGTTCCTTTGAAATACCTACATGGTGTCCTAGCGGATTTGGACCCCCCGGTCCAATTCCGCTCGCGGATATGGACCCCCCGGTCCAAATCTGCTAGTGGATATGGACCCCCCCGTATGGACCCCTTCGATTGGGAGGAATATCGGTATCGACCCCCCCCCCCTCTCCGCGAATTTAGGCCCCCAACAAAACTTAGCTCAGTTATGTGGGAACTTGGAATCGATGGCTTTTCGCCAAAAGTACATACCGCAACTCCATTGCTAGGCGAAAAATATGTGTGAAACTTTGAATAAGAGGTTTTCACGACGCTCAAAGCTTAAAAATCACATTTATCGTTGTGCTTGGTCAGTTGTTTCTTTTTAACAAAAACAACGCCGTAAGCAGCAAAAGCCCGTTAAACTAATTTATCAATACTGCTATTCACCCTTGACAAATGAGTGGTATGAAGTGATAAAGTGATAAATATTAACTAGACACTGAGTCGCTTTGACGCGCTAAATAATCGTCCTAATAGAGAAAAGTTCGTGTGCGTGGAACGCGTTATCGGCACTGAGTAATTAACAATTTGTTCATGCTTTAGCGTGTACTATCGAGTTATGGAGCACGCGGGAAGTTTGGAGAGCACGAAAGAAGCGTAAGAGTTGCCCGAGGCGATAGCCGAGGGCAACTCTAGCTTCTTGAGTGCTCTCCAAACTTACCACGTGTTCCATAACTCGATAGTGCACAGCTGAAAGCATGAACCAATTGTCTTAGAACATAGCCGGTGGAATTGTGCATCAAATCCGACGCGAAAAACGGACAGCAGTATCAGTTGAAGCGAATCGTGACGGCGCTGATGCCGAGTCTCCTTTTCCTTTGTTTTTCTCTTTTTCTGCCTCACTTTAGAACTCTAGCCCAAGGGAAAAGGTCGAAACATTGTCTTCGTTTTCGGACTAGTAGGCCGAGTTTCTGTTTGTATCCATTATTGTCGCGAAATATATTATTTTTTTCCCCGCGCTAACAATGGCCGCTCGCGCGAAAAACAAAGTTTCTGGCGAAGTCGGATTTGCTGACGCTATCAGCGTGCACTATCGGAATTTTGAGCACGCTTGCGTATAATGAATTTGATTGCGACTCTGCCATCTATGTTCTAATTTATGGTATTGTTACTGTGTGCTCCACAATAAAATGGAGTAGCTCCGCCCACTGCAAAAGGGATAACTCTCGTAAAAGGGATAACTCTCATAACTCTCGTGATTCCTTCCGTCAGCGATGGACGAAACAAAAGCGTACAACTAAGTTTTTCACTATCTCCGCAATACCGAGAATCCATCGAGTTTTCGAAAGATAAGAAAAGAAATGAACGTAAGAAAGTCCAAAAATTCGTTCATAAAGATAGTTCGCTTTTTCACTGGCCAGAGAAACGGTCAGCCAAGATTTAGTTACCTTATATGATACAAACGATGCTTAACAGGAAAATTTGGTGGAGGGGTCTAAATCTGAGAAGAGGGTTCCAAATCCGCGAGGGGTCCAAATCCGCCATGACACTGGCCCGACGGAATAATGATTTTTGGAGCCCTAATCTCGACTAGGGCATCGACATCAATTTTTGCGAAATTAGGGAAAGCCTAACATCGAATTTTGATCGCACAAAGCCTCGAATCGTGACAACCGTTTGGAATTACTCGAGAGAATTACTCTTGGGTGGAGTGAGGCACTCTGAGAGAAAAGTGTTTTGCCCAATAACGTTAACACAACAAGTCACATTTGAAACACAGACCGATTGATCCGGATTCCAGCCGCCTGCTATCTATTAGGATACTGTGCTACCCAAGTGTTTACAGAAACCACAACTGATTTATGCTTAAAAGAGAAATGAGCGTGTATTTATATTATTTGATATATAAGTTACCTTGCCTCTTTTTTTAGGGAGTAAATGAGATAAGAAATCAGATCCATTTATTACTAATATCCTACTGAAAACCTGCTTACAAAATCACTGCGACACGCAAATAGTGCAAAAGAGCTTTCTGGTTTTACCCTCAAGTCATCAACATTAAAGTTAGGACAAATTACGAAAGGCTACAGAGTGATTCAAAACACGATTGAATAGAGCCAAAATTAATTAAATTAATTGAATTGAATTAATTGAATTAATTGAATTAAGCCAAAAGAGAGCTGATCACAACAGCAAATCAAATAAAAGAATATGTAACAAGGAACCAGTGAGAACTCCAAAGTAAAAGCAAGCACACTGCGCACGTGCGGGAATAAACTGGGATATTTGCGCAGACGTGAACTTATCGAGAATAAACACAAGACTAGGAAACCAGCCTCGACCTCAAAAACGCTAGTGACAAGACGCTATTGAGTTGATTTAGTGTCGAATTTGAACGGTTCAGAGATGATCGTTGTTTAGATTCAATCCCAAAGCAAAGTAAAGTAAAACCGGCGCAGTTATCATGGATTTTCTTTTACACTTGGTCAAACTAAAGTCATTCATAACACTAATTAATGACTGACATTTCCTTCCCATACGATTTCTGAAACTTATTCAACACATAATCCCCAAATGTAAAAGGCTCATGAAGCGAGAGCACAATGTGTGCAGTTTTACCAAGGTCTTCAGGGCAACGGTCTATACCAAAAACGTCATCAAGTGACTCGATGATGCAGTCAAGACCCGGGTGGAAAAAGAAAGGCGCGGATATTCGATGATCTCTAGTCGAATTTCTGACTCGGTGCACTGTGGCACGGAGTTTTCCTTTTGTCCACGCCTCTATGACGTCACCAATGTTGACCACAAAAGTTCCTATAGAATGAATGGCTGAATAAGTAAATATATATGGAGAATCAATCCTCAACACCGCTAAACCAGGCCAGTGGCTCGTCCTCTTAATATTTATCATGCTGTCTGCAGGAGTAACCTCTTTTGTATTTCGCCAGGTTTCCATAAAGGTTCACCGCTACCCATTTTATTTTTGGTTGGAGAGAGGCAATATAAAAGTAATGTGTTTTCCAAGAATACAACACCCGAAAAAAATCTGGGCTCGAATCCAGGAGTTGCGAAGTGGATTCCACTGAGCTAAACTACATCTCCCCAAATGATCAGATTAATATTAGACAAAAAAACTAAATGAATCTTTAATGTCAGCATAAGCTGGTGCATGAGTAAATAAGTGGCTCATCTACCTGTAATGGGAGGAATATCGATCCAGTCTCCACATCTTGTCTCTACCTGCAGACCTCCCACGCCATCCTGCATCAGTAAAGTAAGCACTCCATAATCTGTGTAAGGTCCCACCCCCCATGAGTCTATGTCTCCAGGGACAGGTGGGTAATGCCACAGAGCCATCATCGGAAAAGCTGGGTTGAATTTGTCATGGAAGTAATCATCATTTAGCTTTAGACCAAGAGCAAGGCCTTTCATCATAGCATGTCTAAGTGTATAAAAAATAAGTTATGGGGTAAGTTGGAAAATTTTAAGAGGTCCATTAACTGATAAGTTTGTGATCTTTTATACAGTACCAGCCCTCAAGTATGAGGGTCAAGCCCCCAAGCAAGTCCGACTAGTGTACTTACCCCACCGAGGACATGTTATCCATATAAGCTTCGATGGTTGTGGCAAATCCGGGTAGTTTTTTGTCGTCTGGGAACTGATTAGGTCCTATCATAGGTTCCCAGGCTGCTGTTTCAGTGTCATGAGAGGCGGGATCTGGGCTAAAATAAATTCATTCCTTCATATCGACTTTACTTGCTGTCTTCTCAGAACCTTTCAACAATAATGTATTTATGGGAAAAATAGAAAATAATAGACACTGACAATCATAATTCAAGGCCGATCAGGCTGAAATTTTCACTTGCTACCACGAACAGAAATAGGCTTTGATTCTGGTGGCGATGTATTTGAATGTGAATCTCTCTTTCACTCTCTCCATTTTGTTTTGCGAGATTAATGGACCAAAATGTTTAAATTTAGGTTTGGACCAGCCGGCATCTTTGAGTTGTGATGTATGTATACCAAAATGCACCATGAAAGTCAAAACGCCATGTCACTAAGGAATCTCGGTGTTTTTCAAAAGATCTCATGGCAAACACAGAATTAGTGTCACATCTGACAGATTCGTGAGGAATCATTTAGCTATTGAAAAAAAAAATGATTAATACAAAAATTTATCCAAACCGCTAAGCGGGGCACCGAATGTGTCTTTTTACAGGTTCGATATTCTATAGGCATGCTCACGGCTTGCTTGCGGTTTATCTCGTACGAAAAGGGGACTTTCAAAACGGCTTGCGTTCGTTTAAGGATAAAAAGAAAGTCATAAATGTGTATACCGACCTACGTCCATCGCATGAAAAACAAATTTTCTCTGTTTGAGGGGTTATTATACTTTCTTGAGTGCGGATTATCCGCTTGCGCTTTTTGCGCTCCGAAGCTCCGCTTTTAGTGCAAGTGTTTACTTATGATTGTACAGGCCTGAATTTTCTTCAGGCCTTATTTTCGCTACTGCCTAAGTAGTGCTCATTACTGGGAAGATCGCTCTCATATTCATTACGCCGGATTGTTTGTTCTGCGAGGAAGGTCGATGTAATTAATTTAAATTTTCAATCCCCCCCTGATTATCAGATTGAAATCTAAACTAAACAATTTCTCTTGTCGTTTGTGAATTGTAAGTAAAAAGTTAAATATGCAACAGAAGTACCTAGTTGAATGTACCCACGGTATGCAGGACTTTTCTTCAAGTTGATGCTCAACTTCTCGGCCATTGGCAGGTTAAAAAACTCTTGACCACACTTCATGATATCAGCCATGAAGGATGTATCCACACCGTGACCAGTGATATAGAAACAAGAAATATCCTCACAGGTCACCTTTATCTGAGCAATGACTTCGTCTATGTCTTCAGATACTCCTAGAAAGAGGTTCCAACTCAATCCAATACTTTTTAGCACGAAATATGCCTTTTTTGAAAAAGCCATACACGTCAACATACAGTTACTATATAATTTGGATATATCAACAAAGTTGAAATGCGTATGATGCACGATCCTCGCAGTAGATAGCGCTATTTATGCAATTGCGAAAATCAGACCTGAAATAAAATCAGGCCTGTACGGGACTCGAACCACTGACCTCTGCGATACTAGTGCAGCGCTCTACCAATTGAGCTAACAAGCCAACTGGGAGCAGGCCATTAAGTTGATTCGTAATAAACCCGTGAAAGTGATAAATAAGATACAATGAATATATGAAGAGAGTAGAGCGCTGCACTAGTATCGCAGAGGTCATTGGTTCGAGTCCCCTACAGGCCTGATTTTTTTCAGGTCTGATTTTCGCTATTGCATAAATAGCGCTATCTACTGCGAGGATCGTGCATCATACGTATCTAATACCGCAGTTCAAAATATATGAACTTTATACAGTTACTATATGTTAATTTCGACTCATTTTAGCGGCCTATCGATTTTAAACAAATTCTGAAGAGTACTTGAAAAAGCCAGCTTTGATTTAGCAATTAATGCTCGTTAATAAGGATACAATGACCATAGAACAACTATTTAGTTGTTAAAAGCCATTAAGTTATCTAGTGACTGAATGATAAATCAGCCCTTGATCTGGCTTTTATGAAAAGAATTTTCATTCGAAATAAAGGAAAATGATAAACTTCTTTTTTAATTGCGTTTTCGATTTTCTCTACTTCCTCAGATTATGATCAACTGGAGATCAATAAACTTTTGAATGAAAAAAAAATTGATCGAGAGGATGGAAATAATGACAAATAAAATTAATGGAAACATTGATTAGCGTTTGATACGTGGTTGCGCATTTGATCCAATGTCAGTGAAAACGTAATCCCCTTTGAGGGGAATCAAAGAGAAATACAGAGGACAACGTACGAGAAATCTATCGTCGTCAGAGCAAAGATTTCTGTGACAGCAGATGGGGGTTTTAAATGCTAGATGAGGACAATTTACCATTTCCAGAATGGCATCAACAGGTCACAATTATCTAGTATGATTTTTTCAACTCAACTAAATCATCATTCTGCTAAATACTGTTCTTCGTATGTAATATTGAGTATGCAATAGAGTAAGCAGCAGAATTTCACACAATTAAAACAAGACTCGCGGATCAGTGAAGCGTTTATCTGAACAACGATGTAGTTACCGTAACTGTTGATCAAAGGTGAGAAATCTATTGGAGGGATTTCCATGGCTGAGTGACAGTAAACTTGGACAATGAATTATCTTGAGGTTTGAATGATGAAATGTTATTTTTTCGGCTTTTAACAACACTTCTCTGACGTCATCGTCTTTAGTAAAATGACGAAAATGGTAGGTTGTTTTTCCCAATTCCCAGGCGTCTCCCTTTAATCAAAATGCCGCTCTCCGCTTTCAAAAAATTCGAGCAAGCGACAGTTTAAGCAATTCTTCAACAAAAGAAAGAAAACTAGACACTGGTTCTTCGTCGGAGCAAATGATGAAGGGCTAACGCTCGAAACGTCAGCTTTTTAACTCTTTACAGTTGCCAATTTACGATTTCAACTTAGTTGATATTACCAAATTACCTTGTTACCCCCACCGACGCAACACCACAGTTCCATTTAGAAACTAACCCCCTTTATGCGCAGGTTCATCATGATGTCACTGTTTAGAAAAACAAAACAAAACAAAACAAAACAAAACAAAAATACCCCAGGAACTATGGGCTTGGTTGGCAAAAAGAAGAGTATGACGAACCTTCCTCCCTCTGACTATACTTATAGACGAGGTCCCTGATCTCAAATTCAGAAATAAAGTCTATCCAATCTTTAGGGGATCATAACATGTTTGACAATCAAATCACATCATATATCCTGATAGGGATACGTTTGCAACTTGTGAGGGACATGTACATAACAACTAAGCATCCTTCAACTGATCAATATAAAAAAAAAAAAATGATGGAGTTGCTTACCTACGGGTCCAAACAGGTGAGCTGTAAAAATGAGTGTATTTGGTTGGCATAATGAATCAAGTCATTTGTGAAAGACATTAAAGTTTCATGTAGGACACGTGTCATGTCCTTAGGGACAACTTCGAGTCCAACCACTCCAACTCTCCAGTTTGGTTAAGCGCTAAGTCCCTAAAATGCCCCGCCATTGACCGCTATTTAGTGTGAGTTAAAACCTTGGCATGACGCCGTTATTTCCTCTCCCTGTCCCTTGGGTCAGGAGGGCCCTCATTTCAACTAGCAGTAACTTAGGTAATACAGTTCAATCTGGGTTACGTTTCTCACGAATTGAACAACAACAACAACAACAACAACATTGACTTTATTTTTTTAAAATGAAAGAAATAAAGGCTTTTGTAGCCCGCAGTTAGCAAAGCTATTCTAGGCGGGCTACCTAAACAGACACTGTATAGGCTCACACACACACACACACACGCACGCACACACACACGCAACAATGAAATAAATAAATAAATGAGCAAATAAAAATAAATAATAAATAATAGTAGTAATAATCATGTTAAAGGTTTTAACTGAGCCAGTCACACAAGGGAGTTTTTAACAGGTCAAAGAGAAAGCTAATCAGTTGAAATACAAATATAAGCTAGAAAGGTCAAGGTAGCGCAAGTCAACATTCATCTCCTCAATTTCAAGAATTTTCAAAAGCAAGTGAGTTAGCTCACGTTTAAAAGGTGCTTTCTTTAGCTTACGAATTTCAGGGGGGATGCCATTCCATATTTTCGCACCAACTCTAGAAAAGGAAAACAACTGATGATTTGTTCTCGCCTGTTTTATATAAAAGCTTCCAGCTACTGAGAAACGAGTAGAGTAGGAATGAACCTGTTCAGAGTGAGTAAAAAGTTCAGAAATATTGAGAGGAGCACAGCGATTTTTGATGTCATGTAACAGAGAGGCAACCAATTTGAAGTAAAGCATTTTTATCGGTAGAATTCCCGAACGACTAAAAAGAGGAGCACTGTGAGATGTATAATCGGAAAAGTGCATTAGACGAAGAACCCGCTTTTGTAAAATGACGATTTTGTTTAGATGAGTATTGGCGGCTTGGCCCCAAGCAACGAGACCATAGGAAATATACGGTTCAATGAGCGAGCGGTAAATGTTTATAAGAGTAGTGAGCGGTACCAAGTGTCTTAGCCTTGCAACAATACCGATACCTTTGCTTATTTTCGTGGAAATGTAGTTAATATGATGCTTCCAGGAGAGATTACCGTCAATGAGAACACCTAGGTATTTAACATATGTCTTACGTTCAAGAGATACCAATTGCTCCGAGTTATTATCAAGTATTTTAAGGTTTACTTCTCGGTATAGTTTGTGTTGATAAGGATGAAAAATAACGAAATTAGATTTGGATACGTTAAGAGATAATTTATTTGAATTCAGCCATTCACACAACTTTAATATCTCTTCATTGACGACAACTTCAAGTTTCTTTAGATCTTTTTCTGCATATAGTAAATTGGTATCATCAGCAAATAGGTAAAAGTCAAACTTTTTAGAGGAACGATGCATGTCATTGACATAAATTAAGAAAAGAAGCGGACCAAGTATAGAACCTTGAGGGACTCCACACACTATTCTCTCTTTGCTAGAGACAATAGAACCGATTTGGGTTGATTGCATCCTGACAGACAAGTATGATGAGAACCAGTCATTAATCAATCCTCTAATTCCATAATGGTGTAATTTATGCAACAAAATCGAATGATCAACCGTGTCGAAGGCCTTTTTCAAGTCAATGAAAATGCCACAGGAATATAATTTTTTATCAATGTTGTTTTGAATTGTATTTAGAATATCCAGAATTGCATGTTGAGTTGAGCAGTTCTCTCTAAATCCATATTGCGATGTGAAAAATATATCATTTTTATTTATAAAAGATTTTAGGCGTTTGTACATTAGTTTTTCGAATATTCGATTAAACACGGACAGTAACGATATTGGGCGATNGTAAGGCGCGAACATGCTCAGAATATAACCATTTAGCAGATGCCCAATAAACATGACCAATAACAAAAAAAGCATTGCAGTTCACAACTTTATTTTACTTCGACATTCTATATCAAAGACAGATAAGTTTTCTTTGACAATTGGGAGAACCTCAAACTCATTTTTTCTTTTTTTTAGATTTAGATGAGATTTCCATCATGAGCTACCACCTTTAAGTATCAGGTTTCTAATGTGACCAAAAAAAGGTAACACCTTCTCTACAAAGATACTGTAAAGTGGAATAACTCCTTCAAAGACAAAAACTCCCTCTTGGTCTTTGTATCAAGAAGCAGAAACTGCTCTTAACTTTATCCTTATATTTGAGTTGGTTTCCGAGAAGATAAATATTGTTTCCTATTGAAATGGTGGAACACACCAGTGAGCAAAAATATACTGAAAAAGGAACAATGATTTACACTGCCAAAAAATCAACAACCTTTGCACAGGTCAAGTTGAGTCATAGCTCCTGTAAAATCCACTGAACAAGCAAATTTATTCTTTACACTTCAAGATGATGACCACGAGGGTGTTAAAATGTCACAAAATTCATTAGTGCAGGATACACAGGTGCTCAGTCAATCATTGCAGTTTTATCTTAATCATGAAACTCATAGTAATAACAAAAATAAAGAATAAATAAATCATATGGTACATACAATCTCTGCCTTTCTTCATGAAATTAAGAATTTTAATTCAAATCATAAAAAACTAACACCTGACTAACCTCAAATACTATATGAGAAAATGAGTTCAAAATGAGTTTATGAGTTTATGAGTTCAAAATCTTTCCTTGAACATATTTTCTGACCAACATTTACTAGTTTCAGTTGCTTTTCAAGCTTTAACCTCAGCAATCAAAAGTACCAACTTCTATGATAAAAGAATTCTGTAAATAGTACAACTGCTAATGAACCATGAATTCAACAAAGGGATGAGAAGCTTTATCAAAACGAAATGCAACTGAGTTGACTGTGGTTAAAATGATTTAAAAAATTAAGCTTTTGTTATTTGTTAAAACTGTATTTTCTTGATTAAATGCCATGTCTTCCTGCACAAGTTAAGTTTTTTTCAGTCCTGTCTACACTGTGCTTTAAAACTAACTAAACATTGGTAAAATCATCAAACACAAAGTGATCATTACATTGACGTAATAACTTATGTGAGAAAGTCAGAAATGTTTAGTAGTTGAGAATTAAGTTGTATTATTTGACATTATTTACTGTCTTAAAATAATATTTGTAGTGACATTATATAAGCAATTTCAAAACAATCTATTCAAGCTTTAACAAGGCATTTCAACATGATATAGCTGTGCTTTGATAACAGATAACAATACTGAGTCTTCATTTAACTGAGAAAATACAGTGTACATGAAATAATTATTGTCATTTTACTCTATAAGTTTCCTTTACTTTACCATCCTCATGGACAAGTGTGGACTTGAGAGTATTCCCCTTGGGCACTTTCTTTCCCGCGATATTTTTTGGCAATCAAGATGGCAAGAGCTAATGCTAACAGCAATGAAACTACGCACACGATTGTTAACCCAATGACCAGTGAAATTGGTACAGGCTTCTTCTCCTTATCTGGAACAACTTCCTCCAGTTGTGCACCTGTCTCATCCATAGCCTGGCCATTACTTGTCAGAACAAACACTTCCTTTTTAGCCAGCCCTTTGGGAATTGTCACAGTCCTCTTCACTGGATCATAGCCACGCTTTGAAACTGTTACTATGTAATCACCAGGAAGAAGCAAACGCCAGTAATCTCCATCTCTAGCACTTCTCACCGGATGATTGCGACTGCCAATGTTTATATCAGCTCCTTCAATTCCTAAAAGCAAAATGGATTTCCATTCTTAAAATTACTAGGTTTTTGATAGGTACATTTAACTAGATATGTAAACATGGTTAGTAAAAGTACAGATGTTCTCAGAATACTGACCATAACATCAGGCTGCCCCATACGATAGCATAACATCAGGCTGCCCCATACGATATTTCACCCACAGAATTCAATTTCTATTTTATGGAAAAACTTTCAGACTTAAAAATTGTCAGTTCTCCTTAAAGACATTGTCAATTGACATCATGGCTTATTGAAATGGGAACTCATAGAACATTAAGCTAACACAAATTTCATTTCCTATGCTCTTAACTACACATTACCTTGTCCATTCTGATCTCTCACAAAGCCAGTCAAACCAGTATGAACTCGTTTCAGGTACTCCAGCAAGGACTGTTTGTTATCATTCCAAAACCCTTGGAGGGTACTAGCATCAGGAAATTTGCAGCAGCTCACATCCATAGTTAACTCAAAGCTGTTGCTGTTGACATAGTTATAATCCTGCATTCCACCAGCTACTGAGTACCATTCTGCGCCATTGGTGATACCTGATTTTGAACACCAAACAAGTTGTTAACTAAGGCTAGGGCAAGAAGTATAGTTGGAGGGAGAGCAAACAATAAAGAAGTTTCAACTTGGCTGTTCATGATTAAAAGAGTGGATGTCAATTGTTTTTTACCCTAGCCAAGTTTATCCTGTTTTAGGTGCCATTAAGTAAAAACATTCCTACTACTATTTAATAGGATACTGGTACCCCCTGCCCCCCCAACCCTCTCTAGCCAGTATTTAGTCAGGTTTTTGTGCCAGTTAACCAAGACCTATTTCTCTTCAAAGGTGGCAATGGGGCACTATGCAAACAAAGTGTCTCGCACAAGTTTACAATACTGAGACCCAACCACAGCTTAAAACTGAACCATTTGACTTGCAGTTTCATGCTAATAATTAATTAAATGACTGGTTAGCTCAATTGATTAGAGTGCTGGATTGTATTGTGTGGGAGGTCGAGGGTTTAAGCCCCGGCCGGACCAATACTCATGGTCTTAAAATAATTGAGGAGAATTTGCTACCTTTCTATAATATCAAGAAATGGATAGATATTCTAGTCTTCTCGGATAAGGATGAATAAACCGTAGGCCCTGTCTCCTGCAGGGTTAGGGGTAGGAGACACTAATTTCCCACCACAAGATTACTGTGTGGTGGATGTCCTCCCCTGGGGTGGGATAGGTGGGTTTAATGGGTCTGCAGTAATTGGCGCAAGCTGTTGCTGTGTCCTTGCCTGTTGGTGAAGCTAATAAAAAAAAATAAAAATAAACCTTCTATGTTTGAGGGAAAAGTGAAGACAATTTTTGTTAATGCCAATATATTTTTCTATGCCTATGCCTGCGTATTTAGATCTCTGAGTCACTTTACCATCTTTAAAATGATCCCCAACACAAGCAGCTCTTGGTAGATGCATCTTTGGATGGTTAGAAGAATATGTCTGTGCCAAGGATCGGAAGACATCATCATCAGGTGTCTCACTATAATCACTTTTTCCATCTGGCCTGTTGTCATAAGGGTAGTTTGCCACCAAAGAACCACCGTGGAGATTGGCAGACAGAACAAAAGGTACCTCATCAATCCACTTCTTAACAAGAAGAGTTTCTGTGGCTAGCTGGCTTTCATCTGACATTTCCCCAGAGAACTGATCAGGAAAGTTTCTGGTAATGTACAAAGAAAATGAATGAGTATGTGTATTTTCAAAGCATAAGCTAACTATTTTCATCAATCTGTTTTGGTCTCTTGACTTCAAACAGAAAATTTCAAAATCTACATGAGATCCATATACAAAAAACTTTGCCTCATCTCCCAAAAAGAACAGAGAGGGCATCAAGCATTATATTATGGCATCAACAGCTCTGGGTCCCATGTTTTTACAACAATGGAATCATTCTCAGTCAGTGGTTTACTTTTCTCATTCTTTGTGGCAAATCTTTTGGGTTATAATTCTTTTCTTTCAGGAAAGATGGGACAATTTTCGTTAATGACAATTTGGAACATATAAACAGACATTCATCAGTGTTCACAATTTATGCCTTTAAAATGTCAACATTTTCACTACAATTAAGTCAGCACTCAAAGCTCCAACCATTTAGGTTCCTCTAGTCAATAGAAAAAATGTTTTGGCAACTAAATATCATCAGGAACCCCAAAGATATGGCATTTGACAGTCAATAGGCCATCTTACAGTTGTGTACTTAGTTGCCAAGCCTTTGATTCAGAGTGAGGCTGAAGGTGACCCTGTTGTAATAGAGACCTGTATCTAGTTAGCATGATAACAAAGTGATTTAGATTTGAAAGGTAGCAAGGTTTGTATCATAACAAGGTCACCCCTAGCCTCACTCCTGTTCAAAGGCTTGGCAACCAAGCACACAACTGTAAAATGGACTATTTGATAAACATGGCATGACAAAGTTGAATATATGGTCACTTGCTCACTTATGGCTGTGATGTGTCCAGAAAGTCAGAAATACGATTAAAAACTTTTTGAATAAAAGAACTGATGAAAACATATTTGACGTGTTTTCTTTGCTTGAAAAATATGAGTGGTCAGCTACTGTAGAGCTCTTTCATGAGCATCATCCATGGTAAAAAAAGCTTCATATTTCATTACCAAATGGTTAGTTATGAAATCATTGTGTCAGAAAAGTCATGTAAAGGAATACTGTGAATGGCAAACACCATTAGACCAAGACTGTATTTCTATTTCTGCCGCAAAACTTGTCCTTCAAATTGAAACTTCTTATGGCATGTATTTGAAAACAGCACCTTTTCTGATCATCAAATTTTCCAAAGGGGCTACTTAAACGATAATCTTTAATTTGTGAGAGAATAGAAGCCTTCTGAAAAGGTAGAGTTAGCTTCTGGTACTGCCTTAACATGTGAGATGACCTGTAAACCTAAGAAACCATTATTGGGCACTGTCACATTCTTTTTCTGGTGACTATGAAAAACATTGAGCATAGAGTGTTGGGTGTCTATCATAAAAAGGGTTCATTTATGATTTACAACAATTCTTTTGTACCATTGTTTTTTAATTCCACAGGAATATAAAATGAAAGCTTGAAAGTTCAAAAATACATTTCTCGTCTTATCTCAAGTTTCCATGGTTATCCTACATGTAAATTGATGTCATCTGTGATAAACATTATTTACAAAGAATATTAACTACTTAAGAATAAAATTGAGTCATATCAAGCATGGAAAAAAAAAAAAAACAAAAAAAACAAACAAAAAAAAAAACAATTACAAGTAATTAGAGGCTAATCAAGAGAATTTGAAGAGCTTTACAAGAATCAAAGATGGAGGCCCGTACCGACTCTACCTCAGAGCAAACTTCAAATAAAAATCAGAAATCCGTAAATATGTCAACCAGAAGGAGAATTGAAAACTGCTTCACTGAAAACGATAAAACTTCTTCAGAAAATGAAGAACAAAAGAGATACATGTAGAAGATAACTTCATACATTGGAAAAATAAGCGAAGACTGAAGAGTTGGTCATTTGAATTTAAATATTCATGTTTTGAGTAAGAATTTGCACAAAATTACACGGATTAATTGAAGACTATCTGTTTTGCCAAATACGTCGGATAAATGTTCAAGTATCTATTTAAAAATCCCAAAAATACCTTTAAAGTAAATCGACTGAGTAAGATCAAAGATATTCAGCTTTCGATTCGAAAGCGTAAATTTTGAAAACCAAACTTAAAGTAATTAATCAAGCTCGTATTTACCGATTCAAATCAACGCCTTTCGCATTTGCTCTTCCAACCACTCCACTACATTTGACACTTGGTTTGCTGCTGTCGCTTTTCGCTTTCTCGTAGCCATCGGGGTTCATGGAAGGCATAATACTTATCCTTGTGGTGTCAATTAGATTTGTGATCTCATCATCGTTGTTGTATCCTTGAAGCAAGTGTTCAATGAAGTGGAGAAGAATTTCTCGACTCACTACTTCGTTTCCATGCATATTTCCAATGTATTTAAATTCTGGTTCGCCAGGTTCGTGAATTTCAGGGTTGTCTGATATTTGGAGGACCCATAATTCTCTGCCCTCTACTGATTTTCCCAACGAGAAAAGTCGAGTTATAGAGGGATAAGCTGCCTGTAAGTCGTTTAGAATACTCGTCATTTGATCGTAGTCGTGGTGAGTGAAATCAACAACTCCATGTTGTCGTGTTTCGAGAACGTTCAGTGAGAGTAGAACGATCAACGACAGAACTCTCCTGTAAACCGCCATCATCTTGAACTCTCCTTGTGTTATAATCTTCTTTTTAAAAACAAGTTTGTTCCAGTCGCACCTTCAGTTTCTACAAAGTTTTTCTAAATAATCACACCCGAAGAAACAGGGGGAAACCTTTCAAAATTCGTACTGTTCCTTGGTAGTCTTCTGTGAAAGTGTTTCAGCAAATAGGTAACAATTTACGTCACTTGTACCTCCCCTACTAACGTCAGCTGAACCATAAGGAAGCAGCTACCAGTAAACAGTTTGACAGCCGAAAAAACAACGACTTCCTAAGGCGATGAAGCGGCCGTCAAGTATTGTTATTTAGGATCGATGATTTAAGGATCAGATTGTCAATTCGTTTTTCAGTATGTTAACCATGAAAATAAAGACGAAGACTGTAAAACGTGGCGATCGCGAAATCGGTGAAATGTAGAAGAAGAATAATTCTTCGCGCCCACTCAAAACGACAGTCGAACTTCACATCTGCTCCCTCGTCTTCGTGATCGCAAAGGTTATTGGGGTCGCGCTCTATACTAGCTCCCAATCCCACAGGTTTTCGCTTGTAACGCCTGGCGATATCTTTTCATTTTTGGCCTCATCATTCACTGTTGCCCGTAGATTATATCTCATGCACAAAATAAAGAGCAAATTGGAAAAACCTCAAAATATTACAGAGGAGGGTGCAAACAATAGTCTTTCCCAAAAGGATTTAGAGGAAAATGGTCTTCAAGGAGTTCAGTTGCGCAGTTATCAACTGGAGGGAGTGCGATGGATGAAGCGTTCTTTTGAAAATGGTCAAGGATGTATTCTTGCAGATGAAATGGGTCTTGGCAAGACTATTCAGGTATGAAATTAACTATATCGTCAGTCTATTTGGAAAGATTCCGCATAATCCCAAACTATACTAAAACGAGGGCCGTAGTCTCAGCGGCAACCCACTGTTTTCGTCATTGTTTTCTCAATCCAAGAACTGCAGGTATAATAAATTGAAGTATGGGACGGAGCGAAAATCTTGCCGTTTATTTTGTTAGTGAAAAATGTTCTTAGACAGTTGTTACGAGCGTGGAACAAAGAAAAAACTCAAGTACTCACCAATACCTTTGAAGACTTTAGTTTTTGATGCTAAGTCAGCAAGAGCGCGGGTGTTACGAAAACTAAGACCCTCCAAAGCAAAGACCTAAGACCTAAGACCAGTCTTAGTTTTTGAGATTACGAAAACTTAGACCCCCTAAAATCAAATCCGTTGAAATATAAAGTCAAATTGTAACAAAAACAGGTCTAATCTGTCAAATTATCTCCTGTCCGATCCTTTCTACCAAGTTTTAGATCTTAACAGTAAATTTAGGGGTCTTAGTTTTCATAATCTCGAAAACTAAGACCCCTCTTAGTGTTCGTAATTACAAAAACCAAGACCCCCACCAAACCATTCTGTAAAATGTCTACAAAGTGGATTTACGACCATTCAAAGACTATAATCCGTAAAACAACCAAAAACTACAATCGTACATGTGCCAGAGGATCCGCTTCTTCTAACAATATTGCAGACATATATTTTTGGCATTGTGGCTTTATAAAAACGATGAAAGCCATACACTACCTACATATAATTGTACACTGAAAATATGCCCTACCCTAATTGATCTTTAATTTTGTCGTTTATCCTTTAAATCAAAAAATTGGCTTTCAATTTGAGATGGATGTTTTTCTATGTGTCTCTGCGATCGAGATTGCGTTACCTGTGACAGTGCTGAATAACTTATGCACACAGGCTAGGTTTTGGCGGATTGCACATGGACATTAAATTAAGAGCCCACAGAAAGCTCATATTCGATAATAAATCCAGTTAGATTTCCCGTGTTACTGTAACATCACGAAGCGAAGAAATGTGACAAAAAAAAGTGAAGAAAAAACATGATGTCTTCACAAATAGTTTCACTACATGGGGTGTAATCCAGCTGTCAGGGAAACTCTCCTGACAAGTCCAAGCTCCAGACAATAAAATGAATTCCCTGGCAGAATCGGTCACATTTACTGACTTCTACGTTTTGCCAATGAATAATATCGGCAAGCAACAGTAGCCACCCTAGTTCCACTTCACTGGTTTCGTAAGTTTTTACGCAAGAAGTGATCGGCAGCAGCCAGGACAAAGTGGAAAACAAACCTTGGGGAGTCGCAAGGAATACCTGGTTGCGATTTCCGGTGTCAGTGATTAACCCCTTTGTTCAGAAACAGATAAAATCGATGTTAGCACTTTCCCATATTGCAAGACAGTACAGAAGTGTTTTTGCTTGATTGATCGAATGTGAGCTTTCTGTGGGTTCTTAATTTAATGTCTGCGGTCATAATTCGACTTTATAGACATTTTACAGAATGGTTTGGCGGGGGTCGTAGTTTTCATAAATTTTACAAAAACTAGAGGGTTCTTAGTTTTCAAGATTATGAAAACTAAGACCCCTAAATTTACCGTTAAATTTGACCTAAAACTTGGTGGAAAGGATTGGACAGGAGATAATTTGACAGATTAGACCTGTTTTGGTTACAATTTGACTTTATATTTCGATGGATTCGATTTTAGGGGGTCTTAGTTTTCATAATCTCGAAAACTAAGACGGGTCTTAGGTCTTAGGTCTTCATTTTCGAGGGTCTTGGTTTTCGTAACACCTGCAAGAGAGCTTCTGTTCATTGGTGAGTTGGACCAAATTCTGGGACTATTTACCAATATCAGCCAAGGATTCTTTGTCATGCATGAGAAAGAAATCCAAATGCTATTGTTATTATGGTATCTTTTATGCTAATATAATATATATATCTTATTAACCAAGCATGAGGGCCGTACTGAGAGAATATTGGCCCGAGGTCTTGACAGTACGGACCGAGCGCAGCGAGGTCCGTAAAAAAAAGACCGAGGGCTGATATTCTTCCAGTACGGTCCTGAGCAAGCTTGGTTGATAAGAGATTTATTATATGACTGAAGTTCAAAGGGACACAAGTGCGGTATCATTCGGGACCATTCAGGACAGTGCCCGGTCCAATACTTAGAGAATATTGGACCAGCAATAGAGCATTTTGATTGGTCGATTTTAGTTATTGGCCCTCTGACTGCCCGAGTCGTGTAATAAAATAAAATATTGTGGTGTGTTACAAAATTGCAGGGCAATGCAAGAACATCCTTATGTTTTTCTGGTTTTAGAGAAAAACAAATTACTTTGTGTATTGAAAAGAAAAACATCTTTTTGTCTATTTTCATTTTCTTTTAGACTATTGCTCTTTTGATCTACCTTCAAGGAACAAATAATTGCCCAGGTCCCTTTCTCATAGTGTGTCCATTATCTGTTTTGCAAAACTGGCAAAGTGAATTCTCAAGGTAAGTGGAGACAGCCAGCTTTGAGTTTGATGATAGTTTTGTGCTTTCATATGAACCCATTTGGATTGTATTCCATAAGGATTATTTATGAAAAGGGAATGGTTAACCAATCTGACAATTTTGAAAAAAATTGAAAACAACCTGGAGTTGTGCAATTGCTCTAGCAAAATTGCAACTCTGACATGACTTTGTTGTTGCCTGGCAGAACAGGCATTTTATTTCTTGTTTTTCAGGGGAGTAGCAGGAAGCTCAAGTCAAGTAATATTCCTCCCCCTATACCAGACTTGTACATTCTGCTTACTGTGCATCAACCTCACACCTATCTCCACTTGCCTGTAAAACAAATTAGAACACCTCTTTTCAGGGTAACACTATGTCCAGGGATAAACTTTTCTTTATTTTTGATGTTAAAAAAATCATCCTAAAAGCATTCTCTCCTCTTCCATCTAAGGCAACAATGAGAACATTTTGTTGTTTGTTTTTGGAAAAGTCATTTCTGAAAAGTAATCATTCCTAAATGTGTTAACTCCCCATCATGGCTACATGTAGTACTCATGGTGCTTGCTGTTTATGTAAATCATGTAATGCAATGCTTTTCAAATGCAGATTTTCTAGGCATCAAGTTGTACTGAGCTTCACTGGTGATAGAGATGAACGAGAAGAAATAAAAAATTCAGTCAGGAAAGTGTTCAAACCTCAGGTGTTGTAATCACTCAGTACTTAATGGGCTCAATGTGATTCTTTTATATCTTCCACTGACTGTAGTCCATGTCATATCTTTAATGAATGTTGTGAATTCCCAATGAGATGATCATGTTGTGTAACTCTCAGTTCCAATCTTAAGACTAATTTGTTAGTGTATGGCTTAACTAATTCCCTTTACTTTTGATTGGCTGGAAAATGTCAATTAGTGAGATGTGAATGATATATTTTGTTTGGGGATTTTATTTTTCAGAATTCTGTTCATAGAAATGAATCTCTCTCATTTCATGTCCTTCTTACCACATATGAGGTATGTCGGATAAGTATTGATTATTAGTTATTTTTTTTAATGATATCATTGTTGCTTTATCTAATACAAGAAATATGTATCAATGATGGTAGTTGATATATTTTATTTATAAATATAGAGATATATGTACATTACTTGTACAGAAGTATATATATATTTGAATGAACATACAGTATGTTGGTTGTTCACTTACAGCTAAAAGTGCTGTTTTTGAAGTTTATGTTCATGCATATGATTTATTATAATTGTTGAACTATAACTTACACAAAATGAAGGGTCAAACAAGATGTTTGATATCCTTCACCTACATTCGGCAGATTTTACCAGCTTTCATTGGGGTGAATGACCTATACACATGAACATGTATCACACAACTTAGTTACAAATTTAAAAGTACACAATATTGAAGACAAGTTACAAAGAAACATAAAAAAATATATAGTGTGCAATGGCTACCATTAATTATAGCAGAATCCATTATAAGTGCCCACAATGTCGACTTGCTGAACAAGAGATCTGAATGGGTCAGCAAATGTCACCATTGGGACACATTTTTGCAACCAGAAACAGAAAAACTAATTCCAAATGTTTACTTAAATGTTTAATTCTTATTGTACAGAAAAACGTCAGTCTAACAAAGGCTTAATGCATGAAACACGAGTTGTATATTCATTGTTATAATTATGAAACAAAGGAAAAGTGAAATATAACAAACTAAGGAAAAAAATGAGAATTAAAAAAAAATAATAGTAAAAAGAAAGAATAATATCAACCACACATAATGTATCATGATGTGTGTTTTGTTTAATTTATCTTTCACTGACAGATGTGCTTGAGGGAAACAACTTTCCTTTCAAAGTAAGATTGTTATATATTTAAAT